GCAGGCACTAATGAGTGTATATAACATAGTCATATCCAAAGGTAAGCCTATGATTAAATGTCAGAACTAATAAAATGACAGAACTCCCGGGCATTCGCCCTAGTCACATCACTGTCACACCGCGTCTCGCGCCAAATCACTTTTCTTCAGTCGACTACCGTGGACACTGTGCTGGCTCGTAGACTCACTTTCACGTCTAGCTTCAAACATGAGAAGTGCTCTATCAAGTAAGCTCTTGTGCGTGTTCAACCCAGATTGTCCATTGGGTAACTTTTTTTACACTATTTATTTAACTATCAGCAATTTCCCAAAAATTCACTGAACACGCACTAGTAATGATCTTTTTGTGCAAATCTGTGACTTAAATCTGCTTGAAAAGGCAATAGCGGGGGCACAACGTTGTCCGACAGCAGTTGGTCACTGCCAAATCGCGTTTAAGCCTGAGCCAAACATGTACAAATAGTACGCATTCAGACGCGGCGTTGCCCACCCCCACTATCTCTGTTTCCTCGTTTATTCGGAATTATACATTCGACGTCGACTTTTAACAACATCCGGCGACCAAGTGGATTGACGTCTTTGTATCTTTCCCGGTCATGGACTGACCCGTACTCGGATAGCCCACGCGAGATCAACCACTGAACATCTCTGGAAGCTCGCAGGTGATGTCTCGGATAACACCAGATTGTGTTGAACATTCGCGAATCATGAAAGAATGAAAGAACTCCATGACTCATACAAGGGACGTGATACATATATCGATGGAAAAGGTATTACAATCTAAAGGATCTGCTCTATCAGGGGTATCCTGGAACTGCAGCAAATACAGTGACCTATGAGGGAGTCTTCTGGGAATCCTTTCGTTGGACTCCCAAGGCATTCAGCTGCGGATCCGCTGTGAGGATTTGCGCAAGTAACGTCATAGTATGGCTTACCTTGGCCACAGCTGCGCTCGTAGAAATCAACGTCCCTTTCGCCACCACTCGACTCACGCAGACCTTCTTCGCGAGGCAGATCTGCGCATCCGGTATGAAATCTCCAATGCTCTGCGAACCGCTTGACCCGGTGGCATAGGCTCCGGTATCTGGAACGGACAAAAATCTGGGGCGACCATCATTCTGCGGTTGAAGTGATGTGAGCCTGCGCATTCCTGCTTTGTCTAAAATCGCTGGGATGGCTTGCCTGCATGGGAGCATTCCGCATTGGAAGAAGTGTCTGGGAGGTTCGTGCGTCCATTGCACGGTTTTTTGGCCTTGTGGGGATTTACCGAGGTGAAGCGGTGATCTTAACGCGTCCTAGCAACGGTATGCGACAATGGGATGATGGGCACTCGAGATGAAGACCGCGTGTTGTGTGTGCACGCAGGCGCTTTTATGTTCTTTGTTCGTATAATAGATCTTGGCCACAGATCTGGACTCGCAATGTGGCAGAGCCCCTATGTGGCACTGTGGCACTTCCAGCGCTTTGCGCTTTGGCCGGGATATCAATGGCTTCTACGGGTATATAAGACAGCGCTTTGGCCTTTCCATTTCTCAGTCGTCCTTCGCTCTGTAAATACCCCTATTACTTTCCTCGACGCCTTTTCGTTAGTCCCTGTTGACCATGGACAAGACAAAGTCTCAGCAAACGCATACCAATGCGGTGAGTACATTGATTCCCTCCACCGCCCCTTTCGTATTGACGCTTGTTCGTGCCAGGTCCGTCCGTCGCTGTCTCTCGATATCTCTCCAGAACCGACGCATCAGGTGAGGGACCGTGGTCTGAATGCCACAGCTCCTAAGGTATGTCACTAGACTATGATAGCCCTGACCGGTGCTTACACCTTGTCCGTCTTAGAGCGAATATGGTGTTGTTGCTGGACGTCCTCTAGAAACTACAAGTACCAATATGTTTGCGACCGTGGCTCCCATGTGGCAGCCCATCTCGCCAGTCGAGCTTGGGTTATTTGATACCAACAGCTGCCACGATGACCCTTCCCCTCTTATACTGGAAGGCGTCTTCACTCTGCCGATTCCGTCGCCTCAGGCGGCAGCCGCGCCGTCCTCCTCACTGTTCCCTACCGACCCCGTATGGGATTCCCCTCCGACATCACGCCGCTCCTCGTCCAACTTTGCAGACGAATCAAGCTTTTCGTCACTCTCTGATGAAGAGAGTTTGGCAAGTCCGTTGGCAACGGCGACGACGCTGCAAACCCGGGGTTACCTCCTCGATATAGAATCTGAATCTTCAGGAGATACCTCACGGGCACGCAGTACAAGAGCATCGTTCTTGGGAGGAAAATCTGAGGAATCGCCAACTCAGGAACCCAGTCCGAACACTGCGCTCCCAGGCCAAGCGTCGCACTGTCCCAGCCCATCCAAAGGGCATACGGTGTCTCTGCCACCAAGTCCCGTCCTCCCTTCGTTCCCCAAAGGGCACCGCCGCCTTTATACGAGTCCGGCTGGACCATCCTCCTCAGTGCGCGGCAGTCTACCTAACATCAGGCCGCTTGCTGTACCGGCTGGGAAGTCAAAAGTGTCTAGGAGGGTATCGAGCCCGCCTCCCCCTAGTCCCACGGATCCGGTGGGGCAAGAGATGTTGGGCACGGTGAACACCCTTCTTGCGGATTTCCTTCTACCGTATAAGCTGCGAGCACAAAGTCTGAGTTAGGGGGTACGTCTCGGCGAGTGACCCGTAGTAGAGACGAGGATCCCTGGTGTCTCAACCCCGTAGATTCATTTATGCTACTTAAACATCCTTTTGTCAACTGGCTGCCGTTGGGTATAATTTATTGTCTTCTGCTTTGCACGCAGGCGGACTCTATTATCGAAGAATGTACTGGCACCGTTATGCGAATATTCTACTCCAAGTTCTTCAGTCAATGGTATCTTTGTGGCAGCCATTACGTAATGAGTATGGGTTCTCCTTTGCCTCCATACTTCACCAGCTTGTACCGCCTATGTCTCCGGGCGACGTCAGCTGCCGTTCTCCATCATCATGCTGCTACCAAGTCTCTCAGGAAGATACTGAAGCCATCGTTTCGTGAGGCAGCGAAAGTACTGCATGGAATACACAAGGGACGCCTCAGCGACTCTTCTGTCGAAGCTAAGAAGAAATGGCTAGAGGAATGGAACGAACGTGGTACAGTGATGTTCCTCTAAAAATATCTCGTACATTCCTAAGATATGCTAGCGGATAATACGCTTTCTCTACTGCATAACTCCGCCGCGTCTCGTGGGTTGGCCCACAAACTGACCAGAAACCTTGCGTCTCTTCAATCGTACCACGAGCAGTGGGCTCAAAGACGATACCACAAGCCTGGGAGGGAGTGGGACCCGTCTCTACCTCCTCACGATCCGAGATACCATGACCCGACGACTGCCGTCAACTATGGTCTATCCAAGTCGTCGGCTAAGCGGGAACAGCAGAAACACCAGCAAGGAATTAACGACGCTGCATGGGGTGCCTTGGGCGAAGTGGTAAGGCTGTCGGAAGGCAGAGACAAGATGTGGCTCGGAAGAGTCAGTTACCGCCGCAGGAAGGCGTAGATTGCATACCTCGAGAAAGCAATGCGAAGTCGGTTTTAGATGCGAATAGCCACAGGGTTCTAGATGGCGAATCGATATCTATTGGATCCATCATCCCTCGGATCAAGTTGCGAAGCTTGCACCTGACTTCGCGCTTCGAATGCAATGGCGTTGCTCTTTGGCCACATCCACAGCACGGTGGCACTTGTCGTATCCTTCATTAAAATGACCGAGCCAGAGGCATCCCGTTCCCCTATCGCTACGCCACTCAGGGAAAGCGTGTTTCTCGCATCGTCCTTCGTAAGCTTGTGTGGCAAACGAATCCAACCACACACAGCCTGCGCTATATAATGCACGTCCTCCCTCGCAATATCATCCGGCATCCCCTTACATCCTGCATTCCTTTCTTCTCCAGGCTGACAATAGTAGACTGCCAACTCCTTTGTTTGTTCTCTGCTTCCTCTCGTACACCACCGCCAATGGCTGGCTCCAAGCAGAGGTCTCGAGAAAAAGCTAAACCCTACTTCCGGTTCAAGTTGCGTAGCGGCCCGGCGCCTCCTACAGTCACACTTGATATATCTTCTGTGCTGGACGCAAGCTTCACGCAGCCGCTGCACCTCAATTTATCCCCTAGAGGCACCGCGTTCCAGGAGGGTGACGGTGTGGTACGTAGACTATTGCTGAGATTCGAACTTGTCATGGATTGGTAATCGATGTATAGGGATCTATGACATTACACCAATTCCGCCGAACCTTTTCTGATTCCGGACCGCCGCCCAAGAGAAACAGGACGAAGTCCGTCCGCTTCGTTCAGGAACCAGAGATCAAGTATTTCTCGTGCTCAACCCCCAGTTACCCTTCTACTCCTGGAAAGTCTAGCATTCCATGGCCGGTTTCCTTCCCCGTAGACCTTAACGACAAGTGAGTATTTTACGGGTGATATTTTCCGCTCGGATGTCCTGACACATAGTTAAGCACATCCACTGGACCCGAGCTAACGCAACATCCCTGGTCGGCTTTGGAATGGGATGACCCATGCGCTGACATCCCGGAACAACTCATCAGGGGTCGAGTCCAGCACTCTACGGACGATAATCTTCTTTATGACACGGACTCTCGTGAAGACGCTGACAATGATCGCGAAGAACTGGCTTTGAGTCGCTCGCTCGCGACGTCCCTGCCCATGGCAATCCCCCGCGCAGGACCTAGTTATAACGCCGACCCGTCCTGGCTTTCGTCTACTTTGAAAGAATTCGACGCCTCTGAGGTACTACGCAATCCAGATTTCGAGCCTGTGGCACCTAGGTCCTTCCGGGTGGGGCAACCGTTTTCCTTTCGGGAGCGGCGTGTGTCTGATCCAGTCGGAGCTTATACGCACCGCACCTGAGACTTTCCACTATTCTGGGTACCCGTTCTTTGAGAGTCGCTGTCCGTGTATACTATGATGTTGTATGAATGCCATGAGTCCATATGTCGTACTGCGAATGGGCTGCTACGCCTGCTTCCGGTTTCGCTCGGTGTTGCTCAAGCCCTAATATTACAATGCCAAGGTATGTAGCGTGAAGTCATGTTCTCAGAACTTTTCGAGTGTCTATGATACAGTACTGCCACGGACTTGTCGAATCCGACCGCACCGGACGCTCATAACGCCCCTTGCAAGGCTTCATCGTCAAGCTGCTTTAGCAACTCCCTAGCTTCTCGAGCGGGACGAGCAATGGACGATCTATCACTTCCACAACTCTCCGCCACCTTCTGCGCTACGCTCCGCAGTACTCCTAGTACCTGGAAGAGATCGGAATGCGAGCCACCATCTTCCTCAGGGGAGAGTACTGCCAAAATGGCATGCAAAGCTTGTGGCGAAGGCGGTGTTCCCGCAACCAAATACGTACTGCGAGGGTGATGAGTATCCCATCTGCATCATAGACGATATGCTTACTTGACTATTGGCTTTAGGAGTTCAGGATATGGTGCCAGCGACGACATGAGTTTTGCGATGGCTTGAACATATGTATCTAACCATACAAATAATCAATGGCGAGTCAATACGCATGAGCCTCGTACCAACCTTCATGATCTTCCTTGAATGCGTCTTGAATCAAATCGACGCATGCCTCCTTGGCTTTTGCACCGACATTTATATGGGCACTTTTGATGACGTTTGCCAGAGCAAGGACTAAACTGGCTGCGATGCTGTCTTCACTACTCCGAGCACCGGATATAAGCTCAGTAACAACTGGGTCGACTCGAGGTTGATTCTGCATCAAGACACCTAGAGCGTCTGCGGCACGATTCCGGACTGCTAGAGAGGAAGCGTCGCTTGCGCTCTTGACGAATGTTCGCTGAAGCTGGGGGAAGAACGGCTTGACAAACGCAGGTATCCTTTCCAGCATCGTGGTAAGGGCCGTCAGGATGGCGACTTTGACTCCTGGCGGATATGATGTGGCCTGGGTCGCAACACGGATTAAGGGTCCAGTGAATGGGACGACGAATGGCTTGATAGCGTCCTCGGCGGTCCGTTCAACGAGATCGCCAATCGCGTACGCGGCATGCTCGCGTTGTTCGTTACTGCCAGTAGTTAGACCCGCAATAACTATGGGGACTAAAGGTGAGACACCCTTAGGTAGGCTGAAGCCAGGCACGTGGTGTCCAGGAGTACCGGTGCTCTCAATTGTACGTCGGAGTGGCACGACGAGGGGCTCTAACTCGTCCTTTGGAACACGTTTGACAAAGACGTCTAGAGCATGCCACGCGGCAGTGTGTATCTTCTCTTGCTGTTCGTCCATTGAGGAAACCAACTGCCGTATCCAGTCCACTCGGTACAGAGAATCGTCAAGCTCAGACACTTCACAGAACGTGGCGAAGACTTGTAATGAGCTTGCACGACGCTGGCTGGAATCACTCTTGCACCTACGGGGTCTACCTTCAGCAACAGTGCCATATTGGGGATAACAAAGTTAACTGACCATCCAAGGAGCAGCAGCATCAATGTGTTCAGGCCTTCTGGGTCACTCACAGAGGCGAGAAGAGACCTGAGCGCTTCATCTATTGCATCTCGAAGTTCAGGCTGAGGATTGCTTTCCAGTTCCTTGATTAGAGAAGTCAAGATAATGGAGACACGCTTGCTCAAGGCATTTCCAGCGACTGTAACAAGTGACGCCAGTGCTCTCGCATTGAAAGCAGACATTGGTGAGGTTGTCAGAGTGGGTATCAGCACCGGGAACACAGTGGAAGAGCGGACCTACGGGGCTGTCAGGACAATTCTACGACTAATAGGGTTTGGACCTACACTCATGACCTCTCTTAGAGCATGCAGAGCCGTGCCAGAACTGGCTCCAGGTTGTCGGAGAGCTTCGAGCAAGGTAGGAATAGTTTGGTCAATCGCCTTGACTCCGAGCTCCTCTTGGAGTACATCAAAGGCTTTGGCTGCCGCAGAGCGTACGTCTGCTTCGTCGTCCACCAAGGATTGACGGACCATAGAAATAATCTCGTCCTCGTGCCCTTCACGCTGATTCTCTCCAGTGTTCGGTCTACCGAGAAACGTGGGTCATCTGGAGGATGTAACGATTGTAGCTGAGGGATCACTTACAATAGTTCGCTTATCGCCAAGCAGACGCCTTGCCGAGTACGAGCGTCCAAAGAGGTTGAATTAGAGCGTAATACGCTGATAACTTCAGCGAACATCCTCTCTCCAGATTTACGACACAAGTCCGCAATTGTGCGCGCGGCCGTCTGGGTGGCTGTCAGTCTACCTGCACCACGATAGAGTATAGGCACTTACATCTTGTTGGTCAGATTCAGAGCTAGATAGAAGACGTATAATTTGAGCCATGAGCTCGGGAAGAATCTCCCGAACTGACAAATGCCTGTCAGCCAGGTTTGCCTAGAACACAATCCAGTGACTGACCTGTTCGGGGCGTATTGTGCACCAGAGCCTTCCATATGTGCATCGCAGCTTGGCGGACGGCGACAACAGGGTCCTGGCGAGCAAGGTACAAGGCGGACAAAATACGGTCTCTACGTTCAACTCCCAAAGTCTCAACAAGGGCACGTTTCGAGGTTTCTGCAGCTCCCGTATCGTCGACAACCTCCTCTTCGTCATCCATCTCAGCTTTGCCACTGATCCCGGATATCTTGAAAAGGAGTTCGCCCACAAGGGTGATCGAAGATTGCTATATAGAAATAATAAATTAAACATCTGGGGCGTAGGGAAGAAGACGTGGCATACCCTGATGCGCCATCCCGGATCGAACATCCCACGTTCCAGCTCCGGTAGCAGCAGATCTATAGCCTTGCTTGCGTAGTTCGTGACAATCATCCGACCAGCACGCATGGATGCTTCTCTGACATACTCCTCCGAATCAGCCAAACCACTGAGGATGGGAGTGATGAGCTTGGGTAGATGAGGTTGGAATCGAGCACCGAAGGTAACTGGTAAAAAGACCAAGAGCGTCATGAACCCTTCTCTCACTGTGCTGCGAGGAGACTGAGCGTTGGCAATAATGTCGGGCAACAAACCCTCGAGTCTCTCCATCCCAAGTCCAGCGAGGACTTCACTTAAGCCTTGTGCTGCACCCTGTCGGTCAACACCGGACGTATCTGTCTTCAATGTTCTCATCAATCCCGGCACCAGGTCCGGGAAATGGCCCTCTCCTAATCGCTCAACGAGTGTTCCCAGCGCCTTGGCAGCAGTGGCCCGCGCCTCGGGAACTGGGTCCACTAAAACCACATGCACCATAGGCAGGAGAGTGGGAAGGTAGGGAACGAAGTCTTTAGTATCCGTGAGTGATGCCAGATTCCCGACGATCTGAGCAGCCTTTTTCTTCACGTCAGCGCCTCTCTCCCGCAGACCTCGTTCGATGATGGGTACAACCTGAGGTAATGAATATAGGAAGACGGTATACTGGAGACAGGAAAACTCACCAGGGCCAGAGACGACTGGTCGATGTAATGTACGAAGGAAGTCTTGAGAAGAGACGATAGCGCATTCGGAGTCTTCCCTGGGTCGACGAGAGCCTTGAGTAACACAGGACTGAGGTGTTTGATTTCCGGATTACTGATTACTTCGCCGAACTGTTTCAAACTCTGATTTGCGGCTGCCCGGACTTGAGCATGTGAGTCCGTCAATACCCCAGTCAGCCGGGGAATTACGATGGGGAGGGATTGGGACAATTGCTTCGGTGAGCAGTACGCCATCATTCCAAGAAGCTCTATAGAACCTCGTTTCGTCCTCCACTGCTTCTCGTCCAGGCCTGACAATAGAGACGGTAATATGAGCTTGATCCCGAAGCCCGACAGGTTGCCCATGATAACACGCGCTGCATCCTGTGTTGCCTCACGAACGTCGGCGACGGCATCTCCGAACGATGTCAAGAGCAAGGGTAGAACGTGCATAACGTACGGCTCGAACAGGCGTCCTAGCATGTTCGAAAAGGTCTCCAAGGCAAACATTGCACCTTGTCTCGCCTCAAAGCGCTTCTTGTCCGCTGCCGCCTCCCGTATACGACCTAAGATATCGTATTCAGTCATAGCGGCGATTCCTACTCCCTTGATGACTCCTGCCAAGCCATAAGCAGCCCCTCGTCGTGCTGCGTACTTTGGCGCACTGAACAGCTGCTCCATCAGTTTATCCACCAATGCAGCAACTTCCGTCCCCATTCCAGCGACTAGCGGACCAAGACAATCAGCGACTGCTATCTGCACTTGCTCCGAGGGTGTCTTCAATGCCTCGACCAGTCTGTCCACGATCGTCGGAATGCGTTTATCACTGCGATCCAGATGGCGGGCTACTCGACCGAAAAGAATCACCACTGCTTCTTTTATGTAGTCGCTGGCCTCAGACGCAGAACCAGGGCTGGCAAGCTGCTGTTCGAATAATGCGATAAGGGAGGCAAGATTTTGGGCCCCATGGACATCTACTGCGACGGTTGCAGCCTGGAGCATTTCCCTGCGCACCTCAGGAGCGCCATCACCTAATGCTTCATCTTTTATCAGGAACGTGAAGAAATTCTCAATTTCTTCTGATGGGATGTATGGTGCTATTAGCTGAAATGTCCGAGCGACGGCTTGTCGAGTTTGCCAGGGATCGATACGGTTCAGACTTTGCTCAATGACCATACCCTGCAGAAAAATCGTATGAACATGGGAAAGGACCATAGAAATAATGTGCATACGTATTGGTCGAACTCGGGAGCCAGGATCTTCGCCTAGAGGATGATTCAGAGGAGGGCAGCTACCGCTACTGGCGAGGCAATCACCTTGTCACGATACAATCGTTCCAGAGCCTTGACGACCCTTGCGGAAAGCTGAGGGTAATGTTGCACAGCGTCGGCCAACCCCGCAGCGGCGCTGGACCGTACATAGCTATTGTCGTGACCTGTATTGGTTCTAAGAAACGCTCGAGTTTGGCTTATGAGTGAACATACCGAGGTAGTCCAGCAGGGGCTCCAGAAAAGCCTCTGGTACATCCAAACCGTTATCCTCCCAAATCGTCTGAGCAAGCCTAACATTTTGTTCGTCGTCATCGTGCATGGCGATCCAAAGCTCAATGGACCAATCCAATTCCGTGAGGTCAAACGGCTGATGTAAGATTATCAGAGAGGATGCAAATAAAGTCACGAACGTAATTTACCTGCAAGGCTTGCAAACAAGCATTCCGGGCGTAGACTTCTTGGTGCAGTGTGCCTCGTAATAGAATGGAGGACTCCTCCGGGGATGCAGTTTGACTGACCGCTTGCGCTGAATCGATCAGAGCAGACGCTGCGTCCTTAGCAAGGCGAGGTTGGTTCCGAATAGCATGGATCAGATCCGTCAGGATGGCTGCTCTTGGGAATGCCGAATCTCCGACTTAAATAGCCAAATTAGACTGAGTACAACGTTATACCGTCGATTTGGCTCACATTCACTGCAGTGGAACCTAACAATATCCAGAGCCAAAGTTATCTGCTCGAGAGGGTCATCCTCCTCGCTCAGTGCTATGCCACCTTGCACCAAGACTTGACTGAGTAAAGGGTAGGCGTAGGAGAAGGTAGCGGCATCCAATGGCGCTTGCTCCGATAAGAACCGCAGACGATACAGGATCCTGGAGACCAAGTCTACCATCGGCTTTGAAAGTCAGCTACCGGAATAGAGAACCAGTGATGTACGCACGATTCAAGGGCTCTGCTCGCATCTCCTCTGGTATGCCGCTTACTTGTAAGGATCGCAAGGTCGCCGCCCCTATGAGAGGTCTGAAAAGGTCTAGGCGTTCTGAGCAGCATGAAGAAAGGTCCTGCGGGACATATGAAATGACGGTAAGGCGGGATGAGGGCTCAATCATACCAGGTATGTGTGGTAAGGTTCATATCCGCATAACAAGACTCCCTTGTCGAACGCTCCATGAAGAAGCAGTGTCGCAACATTCGACACGTAGGCCCGGAAGTCGTCAACTCGAGCAGCTACGATACTACGGACGAACGCAAGACCACGCTGTAGGTGGAACTTAATTCCTGTGACGCGATGCCGGATGACTGCTTCCTTGTCCAGCTGAGCTTGTACAAGGGCTTGATCTTGCTTCGACAGCTTCCCCGAGTTTACGGCCTTCTTGTTGGCAAGAGACTTCCTAAGTTCAGCCTCCCATTTGGCTATATCAGCACCCTTGCCTTTCTTTATCGGTGCCTCATCCTTCTTATTCGAAAGGACTAAATATCACGTGTAAGATGTTACAATTGTCTCTCATATGTGCAGGGTAGAATTACCGTCGATGTAGGTTGCGCCCTCCGGAGTTGCCCAGATGCCCAGATCAGTATCAGTCAGGGAGTTGATGTCGCTCGCCGATATATCCAATCGTAATTGGTCCATTGCACGAGGTAAGACCGCAGCAGGTGCAACGAAGGCAATCGTGCTTAACACACGGTAGCTGCTTTTGACGAGACCTCGATCACTAGACTTAACGGATGTCAGTGATGTACAGTGAGTTTGAACACATGGCAGCCTAGCATACATCTGACGCTGCAAGTATGCTGTGGAAAATCGCGTCGAGCTTGTTGTTGATAAGTCCTTGCGGATCAAGTCCAGCCTTCTGACACATTTCGATCCAGACTTGACGCCTCTTGCCGCCTGTGCAACACGTCTCGTAAATCGTCAGGCCGGCAGATGGTAATGGTACAAACGACCATACATGTTGTAGGATGGTGCGCAATATTTATGAGATCAGCTAAGATGTCCTGCTTGGTGGTAACATCACAGTCGTCCGAGAATGAGGCAGAAGCCAGAAGGACTGCCGCGAGTCTATTCTCCAAATTGAGGATAGGCTTTTCCGACTCATCCTCTATGGTCTTGAGACTCAGAGAGGGCTTGGCGTGCACAAGGTACACCAGCAGGCCCTCCTTTGCAATGGAACTGACGACCTTCGGAACTCTCGAGCTGAGAGTCTCTAAGGATTTGACGCACTGACGACGGATATCCGAGAACCGGCTGTCAACAGCCAAGTGCAAGAAAGCAGAACCAACATACGAGCTACATAGAGATGTAAGCTTGCAAATGGGATGATGCACGTATCATAATACCTACCTTAGGGCCTGCGACTTGACTATCTCGTTTGCTAGGTGGATCACAGAGACTTCACATGCCCGCAGGAACCAAACTTCTTCCTCGAGCGTACTCAACTTCTGATACACCTTATCCCAAAATAAGAATGCAGGCTTCGGCGACGTTGACCCTAAGGTCTTGATGATAGCGTTCTTGGAAATCAGGTCGTCTAGTTAGTGCATCGAGTATCCTGTCAATAAGCCAGCGTTCCATCAATCTAGCAACGACCGTACGTACCGAATTTTCCAGAAGAGAGAAACGCGCCAAGTATCACAGCAACTGCTATATATCCCTCGAGAGGACCAGCAACCGCAGCCACCGGATTCGCTGAGACTGTCTTCAAGTTCGTCTCGATCGCTGGTAGGACAGCCCTAGCACATTCTACCGATGGATCCGACTTGAGGTCACCAAGCGTCCAGAAGACATTCCCGGTCAACGCGCAGAACGCCCTCCGCACTGCCGGCTTAGGACTGTTCATCTCCTTCGCAACCAGACTCAATGCCTCAGCTGGCAACTTCTCTTTCGATTTGAGAAGCGACGTGATGTGCACTGCCAAGGAGGAGATCAACATTGTGATCGCGGCCTCATGCGACTCTTTGGAGAAGAGCGCTGGAACGTTTTGCAAAATCGTGAGCGAGATGGAAGGGCTGGGAGGGAGCGCGTCTAACATGGAGAATAAGGCTACTCGGTGTTCAGGCCCTGATGTTTTCCCCGTCTTGGGGAGCGTGAGCAGTTCATTGACCAGGAATTCCAGATCCTCCGGACTCGAGCTCTTCGTCGCGATATTCTGGAACAAGGCGACTGCAGTAGTGCGGACAAGCACATTGTTCGACTTCGAGCTGTTGATGACCGCAGCAGCAACTCGTCGAAAAGAATCCGACTGGAGCGCATGGGAATATGCAACGAAAAACTCCCTCATCACTTCAAATCATCAGTATAAGGGCAACGATAAAAAGTAAAAGACCTACCGTTCAGAGAATACTCTGGGGATCGGAGAACTGACTTCTCCATAGTGGGAAGAATGACTCTCTCGAAGTCTTCTGGCGATACAACGTCCCTGATGAAATCATGCAAAGCGGACTACAAAATTAAATAATGCCTGCGCTATGAACACAGGATAACGTACCAATGCATGTGCGGATACCGGCGACTTCGATAGTAGCACGGAGTTTGTATACAGCCCAATCATGTCGTTCTAGATAGAATGAAAATCAGCTACGCAAATGATAATAAAGTACAGTTGATCCACCTTGATACTCGCAGGCACCTGTCTCAGCGACTGGTCTTTGACATTCTTCAGCCGCAGCGTAACATCGACCGCCGAGCCAAGTAGAGGGATAAACGACAATGGCGAAGAGTGAGCCTTCGCTTGTCGTATCAGAGTTTCCATGAGTACAGGAACCTTTGGGGGATGCTGGGTTCGTTCTATTAGCCGCGGCATAACTCAGGGAGTCCCACCAAGCTGGTACCCACCGAACGGAGCGCCCGACGTGTCCTAACAAGCGCGCTTCGTTGCAGAGACGGCTTGCTTCGCGTACCAGGGTGCAGGACCATATCGGTTAACAGAGCCATGACCCGCGCAAGCACTTCCCAAGCTTGGGAGGAGGTGAAGTCTGGGTTCGCCTCGAGGCAGACCGTGTACAGGCCGCAGGACCAGCTAAGGAGAACATACATGTTTGATGCCGCATAGGAACTAAGAGAAGTGAGCATAATGTAACCGAAATATATAAGCATCGAGTATGCACCTGGAAGAGCCTCTCTTGCTGATCCCACCAACCTCATGAGCGAGCCACCCGAGGATCTGCTCCGTCACTCCCAATTTGCTCTCTCCTTGAGGGCCCTGGGGCGTCCCGCGCACCTCGTCTCGCCGCACAATCTCCATCCCAACCGCCTCCACTGCGTCCCTCGAGATGGTGTCCACATACCGGGGATATGTTAGAGTTAGAAGCTGGAATACATCCAAAGTCTGAGATAGAGTTAAATCTGGAAAGATATTCATCGTGCGATCGTGCGGCTTCGAACGAATTCACCGACCTTCGCGCTTAATGACAGACAGTAGATCTTGCTTCAAGAAAGTCGACCTGACGCGAGTGCTGGCTGATAGCAGCTTCGATCGTGCATACTCCAATGCTTTCGGCCATTCACTGGCACTTTTCTCGGATGACCAGAATGGACCAGAGGAAGACCCTTCCTGGTCGGTATCGTCGCCAGTGGAGGCTTCAGCGGCCCAGGCTTCCACGTCGACCCTGCCCATGATGGCACAGAGAGGAATACCGATCACTACGACTTACAGCGAGTCTGACTAGGCGTTTTTCCTCGGAGGCGCGCGCGCTGACTGCACGTGCCCCCGTAAATGACTACGGTTAGCCTGCGTGGCAAAGCGTAGTACAGGCCACAACGAAGCAGAGCCCGACGCAGTCGGACAAGAGACGGCCGCGGGTTGTTGTGCCCATTGGATTACTTTGAGTTACAGATGATGCAAGTTACAGAACCTTTTATTCTACATGAGGACTTTAGAATAAAATGTGGCTTAATTCTCCCCCATAAGACCTGTGTAGGGAAGGCATCCCCACTGTTATCCAACGCTACGCTTCGCCTAACCTTGTGCTCCTCGCGTCGGGATTTACCAAATTCGGCTAGAGTCTCGAACACCGTAATGGCTGTCTGGCGTTCAGACAGCGAACATCTCCTTGATGTGACTCGTTTGCTCTCACTTCCCCCGCCTTCGTCGCCGCGCACAGTCTACGCCAACGTTTCTATTCTTATATATCTTGAAAGCGTGGGTGACGTTTCGTGATTGGAAAGGAACATCCATCAGTCTTGGTCGGTTCCATTGCTCTTGCTCCTGACTACAACGTCGACGAACTCATGCTTCATTCTACCCTTTCAAAATAGGTCGAGGAAACCATCTAACTGCTTTCTTGTCTCTGCCCGCTCTACATAGTTACGCTCGTTTATTCTGCTGCATTATATCAGAGGGATTGGGGGTTTACGGGTGAAGTCCGCTTTCACAGTATGTCTTCCCGTACATCATTGCTGGCACGCTGTGACGCGTCGTATATTACAGTATCTTGACTATTGATGTCATCCTCATCAACCTCTGCTCCCACTCAGACATCCTTCATCAGTCCGAATGACGTCGCGGACAAGCGCGTCGTCGCCCTCGGAATATCCTTAGGCGTTGTGGGGTTTCTAGTGATCGTTGGCATCGTCTTCTACGTCCTCAGACTGAGGAAGAGAACGGCTGCCGTTCCAGATGCGACGACCCTGACCGACCGCAACCACCAGAAATACCTGCGCCACACTGACGTTGACGCACGAGACCCGGCGCACCGTGTCGTACCTTTCGGTTCGCCGGGTGGGGAAACACCGCGATTCGTGCACAGTAAGCTCAGCTATCAACGAGTTCATCAGGCAGCTACTGAACGCATTTGCAGCCCCAGGTGCTAACATGCGTGTCGCGCAAAGGGGCCCGGACGGCGCTTGGGAGTTCTTCGATCCTGCGCGTCCCTTAACGCCATCCGGCTTCCGCGACCCAGACTCAATGCCTCCCAGCCCGTCTTCGACTGTGTTCACCCCTCGCGTCAAGGACAATGGTATGAAGCCCTGGCAGTTCACTAACAGAGATTTCGAAGACTGGGGAAGCGTCGGGGTCCCGCCACCAGCATATGGTATGGAGGAGGGTTACATTAGCAAAGCTGTTTGAGATCAGCATGCCTCGGCGTCATGCATCTAATGTGTACTTTTGTTTATTATGCTTCGATCTGCTCCATGTTACAATGATCTACGTTCTTAGGTTTTGCTTTTGTGGGTTTCTTGCGGGTTATTTGCCATTGATTATCGTATCTTCCCTAAGTTTTCATGCTGGGCATTCACCGCAACAGTCTACGTAGCATGGTCTATGCAACCCTTCGTGCATCTTGACACAATAACCTCTAGATCTTCCAAACCGTCGGTACCGGTAAGTATAGAACACCCAAGATATACATCCGTCGCGTGTATGTATTGCGTCAACGAACTTCCTCCGGCACATAGTTGTTGCCCCCAATGACGCTGATTCGAGAAGGATGTATCTAAGGACTAGATATGTAGATGGAGTTAAGCCAACTATACCATGTCATATATCCAGCCAACAGTGAAGGCACCGTCTGCAGAACCGGATTCGGGAGGTTTCGGTCCACAGAGACCCAAGGCCCAAGGACATGAAGAAACCTGGACCGGGAAAGTCAGCTCGGGCTCAAGTTGCCCAGCCGAAACGGTATTAGAAACGGAAGTGAGTGACTCTGACTAGCATCGTGGTTTTGTAGTTACTGAAATCACCTCATGTGTCAAGGCCGAAGTGAAACGGATTGAACATGGCAAAGAACCATGGTACGAACTAGCCATCTCATATGCAGGCAAACCCATCTCTCTGCGTTTGGCAGCGTCAGACAGGTAGGAAACGCTGGATACCTTATGCAGTTTTACGGCCTAAATACATCAACGATCGTCGTCAGGGTGTCTGACTTGAAGCAAGCGCTATACACTCTCACAGGAGTCCCCCCAAAGCGCCAAGTCATTGAAGGCTTCGTCGATGGCGAGTTACCGCCGGACTGGGTTCGCATGTAAGTGTTCTTATATCTTTTTTCACCGAGGGTCAACTCATAGGTGCTACTGTTGCAGGGACGAGCTCCTCCTAGTAGACGGCACTGCCCTGCTAACATTAAAAGAGGCGTTTTGGGCTCAGGGCGAAGAGCCTGACACGAAGGAGGTCGAGGACCCTCTGAAAGACGACGAAATCGTCGAGCTAAGCCCCGGCGGAGTCGAGGAAATAGTGAACCGGGCCCACGACGAAGGGAAAATACAAGAAATTACTAAAATGCATCAGATCGAATTGCTCAGTCCACTCCGGCGAGGCAAGAAGCTCCTGGTCCTCGACCTTGATCGCAGTAGGTCTCTTTCCAGTTTGAAGCCTATGAGCGTTATTCATCGGCATTTGCAGCCATCGTCGATATACTTGCTCTTCGGGAGGGCAAGTCGAGCATAGAAGAATGCATGAGACCTGGAATTCATGAATTCCTAAGCGCCGTATATCCAGATTACGATATTTGCATATGGTATGTATATTCCACGTACCATTCATAGTTGCAACTAATCGGCGCAGGTCGCAAACGAAGGGCGGCGAAGTCCTAGATGAGAAACTGGATACGCTGGGCCTAACGCAGCGAGATGACTATAAGGCGAGTCGCCCCTCAGAAAACCGCAGAAGAGTAAGCTTACAATGTACCCTGTTATGCTAGATATCCTTTGGTGCGTATCGATTCGAGTTTACTGTGGCAGTCATCAGCATTGGCACATTTATCATTTTTAACAGTGCTTGACCGCAAATTCATGTTTACCGCCATGCGCTACCGCAAGGGCGACTGGTCAACGAGCCTAGTGAAACCATTAAAAGTAATATGGAACCACTTCCCGCAATTGTGCGTGTTCTTGTAAGCTCTCACGTCTAATGTGGGCTGAAAGATACTGTAAGTTCCGCGAAGAACTCTATCCATATTGACGACGCTGTACGCCTCGGTGCACTCGTGCCGGTGACTACCAACACTGACCAGTTGCTGCAGCGGCAAGTCTTCAGCTTGAACCCACGTCAAGGACTCAGGGTGCCTGCCTTCCAGGAAGCTGGTTCGGAGACTGCAAAGCAAGATAATGTCCTGTATCGCCTAGCGAAGTATCTAATATTCCTGGTCGATATCGATGATTTCACCACTGTCGACCACGCGGTGAGTGCCATCTTGAACAAGTGCACCATGTTAGATTGAGGCATTCGTCCATTATTGTCTCATAGAACTGGGAACTGGTTGTTGACGAGCTTCCTTCCAATAATGAGCGTTAGCTTCCATGTTCTGGCGCTGCATGCCACCACTTTCACCCTGAAGACCTCGTAACTCGAGGAAGCGCCCAGTTTCCAGTAATGGGTCATACTACTATCAAGAAGAAGCACTCAGTCTACAACACACATCACGACCTCAGTCGTCTGTACAAATACAAAGCAATAACAAGCTGTTCAATGCTATGGCATCACAGTCTCAGCATCGTTGCCCACAGGTGCAACACTTGATTCCACTTACCGCTGCTTTACCATCATGGTAACACCTTGGCTCAGGAATCCCTTCAATATCGTAACTTCCAGTCCTTGGTATAGACCTCGAAGTCCATCTCGTTTGTATGCTGATGACCAGATATACGACGCCGACGACAGCGAGCTCGATGTGAGCCGTGAGGTCTGTAGCCGCGTCTTGGCCAAGATGAGAGGGTATAAGATCGTCACGGCTAGCAGAGACTCATCAATATGCGATGCAAACCGCAATACCGGCATACCCCTCGCATGACTTTCGACTTACCAATCGAGTTAGAGAAGGCCGCCCCAAAAAATGCTTGTGCGGGCTTTGGTGTCTGCCGGTCGGTCCCTCTTAGGAAAAGTCTCCGGTAGAATTGGTAGAGGAAAAAAGTGAGCGATGGGTTGAGGCTCAAAAGCACGACTGTCTCAAAACCTGGTAGCGCAGAAGATTTCAGCCACCGCACCTGCATCGCCGTGAGGAGAGCGCTGACCTCTCCAAAAGCCAGCGAGCCCACTCTCACTGTATATAGCCTTCACTACGTCGACTACTCTACCGCTGGTTATGTTGGGTTGTCCTATGGACTCCTTAGGCTCGGATTCTTCCTGATCCTCACTCTCTGTCTGCAGTCGAGCGGTTATCACGCCCAGTGGGGTAGAGATAGCTCTACTTAGTACGCCAGCCAGGAATCCCACCGCAAGCTCCTCGGGTACTGAAAGAATAATGATCTTCTTGGACAGTGCGCTAGAAGAGCTGGCGGTCGAGGAAAGGATGATGCCCGGCGCTTTCCGGCGTGAAAGTAGATTGCGTAGGAACAAGTAGGCATAGAAGTAGAAGAAGCTAATTCCGTACGTCAGGAATGAGATTGCAGATGATACACGTGTAATCTCTCACTTGGACAAGATTGTAGCACCGGTGTCTGTGCCTATCCCATCGTACAGTCTGTCTACACCATGCCTATGGAGGATATGTTGAAGCACCTGGAAGGCACCGCTCACGCCTGGGCACCATTCATTGACCAGACGCATGCAAGGCAGTAGCAAAACCACGTACCTTTGGCTGAAGGGGACGTCTGTACCCGCGTCGTCACAAGATCCAGTGGGTACGTGATTGCATTAGCTGTCGCGCTCCCAGCAGCGCCAGAGAATGCTTGCACGAGGGGAGGTAGTGTGCTTGTCATCCTTTGGAAAGGGTCGCGGTCTATCACTGTAAGAGTTCGAGCTTATAGCGAAACTGCGTCTCTCGAGGAAGTTAGGTGACATCATGGGCCCATTAAGGATTTCACGTGAGAACAGAGCTTATGCTTCGGTATACCGTCGCGTAGCAAGAGCATGGGAGAGAATTGCTTCGGATTCAGCAAACATTGAGGAGTATCGGAGATCAGAGGGGCGAGGAGGGGAGAGGACGGGAAAGCACGATGAATCACAAGGCGTCGATTGTTTGACTAGCCTTTGTGTTTCCCTGGGTCGTGAGAATAACATACCGTTCCTGTGAGTTTTCGGAAGGTCCCCGTGCCACATGTACAGGCTCCAGCCTGCTTTCTTGAAGACTCTTCTGCTCTAAGGTACTCTCGGACCCAGAGTGATATATAACGTTCTAGGTAAGTAACATCAGGAGTAGAAGATGTCTGAACCAAGTTCCCATCTAGCTGCGCTGTACCGGCAAAGAATAAATGTCGCTGTCCAAGATACCTTGGCTTTTAATTGCCCTGCTGAGCATCCATGCGGGACTGATCCGTCCTAACCCTCCACCTGCACCAGAAGAGCGATACTTGACGAATTATGTCACTAGGCGCGTGCACTTCGCTATTGGACCCTTCTTCATCAAAGTATGTACTGATCAGTCTGTTCCGGGTAAAGAATGATTGACAGCTTCAGGTATTATCTTCAGCAATTGTGCTGAGCGAGATAATTATCATCCTTGGTCTCGATCTCCCTCTGTCGGAATGGTTATATGCCACATATAACCAGACCAACCCCGAGACCATATCGTCCATCCGGCTAACGTCACTGTTCGTGGCGGGCTGCGTCCTCGCTGCGTCAGGCGCTGCCTTGCGACAATATTGTTACCGGACACTCGGGCGATTCTTCACATTTGAACTAAGCTTACGTCCGGGCCATTTCCTTGTAACGAAGGGACCCTACCGCTTTGTCCGTCACCCTAGCTACACGGGTCTCTTCATGCTGCTACTCGGTTTCCATCTGTGCCTGTTTACCCCGGGTTCCCTGGTCTACGAAAGCGGGATTCTGCACAGCCGACTTGGTAGTATAGTGAGTGCTGTCTGGCTGGTACTGACTGCGGGCATGTGCTCTGGAGCAGTCCTTCGAATGAGGAAGGAAGACCAATTGCTCCGGACGCATTTTGGTCAAGAATGGGATTCCTGGGCTCGCGATGTACCTTACAGATTAATGCCCCTCGTATTGTAGAGCATGGATTGAATTCCTCTCTTGATATACATCTAAAGGAGCAACGTGTCAATTATAGCTGCGAAAGGATTGCTGGAGGTAAAGCCACAAGAAGTCGCGATCGCGATTGTCCGTCATTTAGAACTCCGATTGCCACACCTTTCCACCGCTCTACCTCCAGGTCAACATCGGCGCACAGCTGAGCCATGACTCGTATCATTGATTTAGCGCATCCTTTAGAGGAGGGTATGCAAGTCTATCCTGGAGACCCAGTATTCTGCTGCCGGTCTGCCGCAAACATTCCGGAACATGGCTACAACGTCCGGAGTCTCTCTCTTGGGTCTCATACAGGCACTCACGTAGACGCGCCTTTTCACTTCTTTGCTGATGGGAAAACGATTGACCACTTCCCTCTCTCCACCTTTGTCGGGCCTGCACTAGTTGTCGATGTATCAAGCAAGAAATCCCGCGAAAAAATCGTCTGGGACGACCTTGCTCCGTACCAAACCGCCATGGGAGAGGGTGTCATCTTGCTGGTATGCACCGGATGGTCCGATTACTGGGGAAGACCCGAATACTTCGAACACCCATATCTCGCTCGCGACGCCGCTCAGAAGATCGTGGCTACTGGTGTGCGCATTGTTGGCATCGACGCCCTCAGTCCCGATGAGACCCATTTGGATGACTCTGAAGGCGACTGGGGTGCGCACGAGACCATCTTAGGCGCAGGCGGAATCATTGCAGAGAACCTGCGGAATCTCGGCTCCATCCTCGGGAAGACTGCTACAGTCAGTCTAGCGCCCTTGCACATCAGCGGGAGCGACGGTGCCCCGACGCGTGCATTCGCGATATGCGAGTGACGCAGGTACGCCTAGCGCTCGCCCTTATTGACGGCTTGGTTCAGAGAATTTATTTATGGATGATCCTGCATGTGAGTCTTCATTATCACCGATGTTAAGCCGAGCCAAATCTCACTCTGCTCAGTACATAGCCCCGGACATGCATTGCAGACGTTAATTGGATACATGAGGACGGCGACTTGTTCTACCCGCATGCCAATAGGGTCCTTCCCTTAAGCGGAAGGGGGCAAAGCGGTGTTACGGCCCGTCCTTCGCACTGTGGACGCGGTTTGCTGGATTTATTCCGACCCTTGACACACAAATACGTACTGATGCCTCCCGAGTACCAGCTCTCCGCGCTATAAATGTACCTGGATGTAATCAGGGGTTCGCACCTCCCATCGTCCACCCCTCCGCGCTGCGACTAGATTTCCATGATAGACCTTACCCACCCTCTTGATGCCACGGCACCGGTGTGTGCAGGCCACCCTAGTTTCGCTTGCCATCCGCTCCTCTTGTTAGAACGGGATGGCATAAACGTCTGCAGCCTTACGCTGGGATCTCATACAGGCACACACATAGATGCGCCTTACCACTTCGTCGAAAATGGTCTGCGGGTAGACCAGCTGGACCTATCCTCCCTGGTCGGGCCGGCTGTAATCATCGACGTACGAGGGAAGGAGCCACGCAGCAAGCTCGCGTGGCCCGACGTCGAACCCTACGCGCAAAGGTTGGGACCAGGCGTCATCGTTCTGCTCCATACCGGGTGGTCGAAATACTGGGGGCAACCCCAGTACAGAGATCATCCTTCGCTCGATGTCGACTGTGCACGGAAGATCATGGCTTCCGGCGTGCGAGTCGTCGGTGTTGATGCCTTGAGTCCTGATGAATTGCCTCTCGAAGGGGAGAAGGATTGCTTTGACGTGCATTATGTCATACTCGGTGCTGGCGGCGTTATCGCAGAGAACCTGAATAACTTGGATAACATCAACTTCGATGATGTGATGGTCAGCTTACTTCCGCTCAGGCTCACTGGCTGCGACGGGTCTCCGATTCGAGCGGTCGCCTGGCCTGCGAGTAGTCGTAAGTGATTTACATGGAGTTGAGTCGTCATCTTAAACCATTGTTCGCAGATGCGAGATTATGATCAGCCTTTGCTACCCTGTATCAACGGATGTACGTCATCATCTGCTGTATGCGCCGGACAACACTTGACTCGGGTACACCCCGCGCAGGTTTTCGCCACTCCGAGAGAAATTTACGGGCCTAGTCGTCCTGGAAACCTTCGATATACCTACGAAAACCTGTGTAACAGATACGCAGTGTGCATTCGGAGGTTACGACATGGTCCTGACGATACTCCCACGGGTTCGTAGAGTGGGTATACGGTGTCGTCTTTCCAGCCCACGTGGCACTGGTCTGCGGAGGAGGTGCTCACGAACCAAACAATCCAAAAGAGATAAGTCAAACATGTTACCGGTGGTAGTGGCTCTGGCACGGTGCGGCCTTCGTGCAAGGTTACGGAGGCAGTTCGAGTATTCACGCTGACATGGGCATCCGCGGCCAGTGGAGTTGAACCGTGATAGGGGCACGTTCCGACTCGAACGGAGGGCACGGATGGTCATGCTCGCACTGTGCAATAAGTCAGAAAACTGTTCCCAGCTAGTCTCAGGAGACTCTTCCGTTAATACTGTTCGGAGTGTATTGCCAATTAAGCATTGATGGTAATATGGAGAAGGCGCACCCTAAAATCATCTTCATCGAAAAGCATGGGCAGGTTTCCGTATGCTGACCCAGGAATACTTCCGGTCAACCTGTGTACTAACCTATACAGAATGATCTTTGAGGGGACTTGATGAAGGGAAACCTGAGGACGGCCATCCCTGCGGACTATCCGGTTTCGAATTCGAGTGGAGCCCAACCACACTACTAGGTGGTCCTGGTTTGTCGGGGAAGGTGCTGTAGATCATTTAAATGAGTGTTCCCCTAAAAATCATTCAATACTCAGTGAGTCACTCCAAACCTGAAGTCCACTCACAATGCACGTCCCTTTCATCGTCACCTGTATCGCCCTCTTTGTCTCCACTTTCAGCGCCACCGCGCTGGGACCTGTATGGGTTGAAAGATCTTCAGCGCGCTGTCCAACATCGCTGATGTATCTTAAAAACAGTGATATATCTGCCCTTGAAGCAAGGCAGTCATGCCCGTGCTCCGGGGGATGCAATCCAGGCATATGTTGCGCTCTGAAATGCGGTTGCGGACAACCCAATGACCGGACATGCGTTCCTAGAGCGCAGCACATAACGCAAAGGCCAATCTGGGGTCCTACCGCCTGAGCACAGGTGTATCATGAAAATGGGATGAGCATTGCGACACCCATAGCACAAGTTATGGCATTGCAGCGTTCAATAACGCTGCAATGTCATAAGTAAAACGTGGTCACTTGATAGAGCATACAAGGGAGCTGCAACTGCGATGCTGGAAGGACTCCCGTAGAAGCAGAGAAGATCATAAGTCTCGCAAGTACGAATATTAATTCGAACATGGACCGCGGTGCACGTCCCTTCTCTCGTCCCATTGCCGTATGACGCACACAAAGGGCTGGTAGACTGTTCGCCATTCAGTACCTCCCTTTGACTCAGATCAGACATTCGGCATATGGCGGCTGGCTATAGAGGCAGGATCCGCAATGACAAGGAATGACTCGTACTTACCAGTTGCGACGTAATATTGCCCAGAAACAAGTGCACGTGGGCACCTCACGCGTCGCTGAAGAACGCGAACTAATGTTGATCGCTGAGCTACATTGGGGCCGTATGATAACTGAGAGATAAAGCAAGAGCGTGGAGGTAAAAGCTGCTTAAAGCTCTGCTAACGTCATCCATCCTCTCCCCATCACGGTTAGTGCTTTCCCTTCTAAATGGCTGCAGCCTCAGCGACTTCCATAACTTCCAATCTATCCCTGTTCCGCTCCCTCCTCTCGGAGTGGTCGGCAAAGCAGCCCAAGGTGAAGGGCCTTGCCACTACTCCTGAGGAGATCAGTGCTAGTTTCGATCGGCGCTTGCAAGACAAGGCTAGCGGGATTCATGATACGGGGAAAGATGTTGTGGTCGCTTTCAGAACGAGGCCTCCGTTAGAAAACGAGGCAGCCGAGAAGTTCAAGGGAAACCAGGAAGAGGGGGACTTGAACGTTCCTGCGGAAGTCACATTTTGTGAAGGAATAACTCTTGCAAGTGCTGAGCCGGGAGTTTTCATTGCTCACGTCCCCAGCGTCAAGGTACGTAGGACAGCGAGGCGCGCTATAGAGTTACTTACGCTCCACGAATCGTCCTAGTGGAATGGACCTACGCTGCAACATAAAGCGTTTGATGCGGACCTGGCATTCGGACCTCATATAGACAACGAAGAGGTATACAAGCGGACAGTGGTCGCCAATGACGTGAGGGGGACTCTGAAATGGTGCATTGTTCACTCACGGAGATGCTTTCTAGCTTATACCACTGGCGCTTTCTGGAGGTATATCATGCATCCTCGCCTATGGCCAGACAGGATCTGGTAAGACGTTCACGATGGAAGGACTCGAGCACCGTATCGCTCGCGACTTGTTCCGTGTGGCGGAGGTCATGGGCAAGCGATTTGCGGAAGCCGAAGGCGCAGAAGACCAAGACATCTTCGAGTTCGGCGTGACCTTCCTAGAGCTGCTCGGTAAACACGCATCGGATCTGGTCGAACAGCCTGAGGGAGTGGACGCGAAGGGTGAGCCTATTCGGAAAGAAGTGCCCATTCAGGAAGACAAGGTACGATGACAATGTAACAAGGACAGTTATCCGTAATACCCTCAATTTCAGGCTGGCGACGTCCGTCCACGCCTCATATCTACCACAGTCAAGTCCTCCGCAGAACTGGAAGATTTGATCAACCGCTCGTTGGCCCATCGACGCACGAGCGCCACAGCTAGGAACGCAACAAGCAGTCGCAGTCACGCAGTCTTGACCATCCGAGTCAAGAACAAACTGCTCCCATATGCCGAGGAGGGCCAGCTGATACTCGTCGAGTACGTATTCGTACTGAATGGTATAAGGCGCGCGAATCACTGACCTCACATAGCCTGGCCGGGAGCGAGCGGTACGAGGATTCGAAAGCACACGACAAGCAGCGGATGGACGAGTCCCGAGAGAACAACAAGAGTCTGATGAACCTCAAGGAATGCGTGCGTGCCAAGGCGAAGATGGCCGCTGAGGAAGGCTTCGTCCACATACCCTGGCGGATGAACAAGCTGACCATGCTCCTAAAGGTAAGTGCTCCACATCTTGATAGCACCTGGGGCAGTGAAGATATCAATGACCTATCTACCCAGCCTATCTTCGACATCGAATCCCGTCAGCAGTCCAAGGCAATCATCATCGCCCACGTATCTCCACATATCCAGGACTCCGTGCACAGCGTGAATACGCTCTCTTACGCGTCTCCTTTCAAGACCGCTCCGCCCAAACCACGGGGCCCTGCGCCATACGATCCCCAGGACCCCCGCACGTGGAACCATGAACAGACAGTCTCCTGGCTTAAAGAGGAGTTCATCAAACGCGCTAAGCAACGGAAGCAGAGCGAGTGGAACATGCAAGCCAAGAAAGCCGCGAAGGAGGGGAAGAAACTGAAACCCCTTGACCCGAACTTACCTGTGAACACCATCATCGACGTAGATAAGCTCTGTCCGGGGGAGATGACCGCGATGAATTATGCGAAGATGTACGTGGCAGAGTTCGTTGAGCGGTGCTTGCAAGCGGCACGCAAGGAGGGGGACCCGCCGCTCAGCCAGTCCTACGCCACAGTCGTGAAGGGAATCTCTGCGGAAGTGGCCGGCCAGCTCTACTATTTAGTCCTGACTGCCAAGACGCGGAAACGCACCGCGATCATGAAGAGCAGGAAGACACTCGAAGTCAAGGATACGTACGGTGAGTCCGACCCAGATACGTTAGTTCTGGCTTTTGATGTACATTGAATAGGCGAGGCTCCCTTGTCGAAGTATAACGTGGGGAAATACACAGACGAAGAAATTCAGATGGCACAGCTAGCGTACCGGGAGAAGTGGAACCATGCGATGTGGGATGCAACGAAGAAAGCCCAGGAGCAAGGCGGCGATGTCGCGGAAGCTGTCGCCAAGATGGCGGACGTCCTGATGGAGGAGTGGAAGGCCAACGGAGGTCGTGTCGTCGAGAAGTTCTCGGACGAAGAGATACAAGAGGCGAAGGCGGAAATCGGCGCAAAGAAGTGGGACGAGACCATCGAGACGGAGCTACAGCGTGCCGAGAATTATCACGTTCAAGATACTGAGTGGGCGAGAAATACCGCCATTAAACGCATGGTTGACGCTTTCCGGGAGAGGAAGAAGACAATCCAACAGGGCAGCAGTACGAGAGACTCGCCTGCGTAGAAAGGAAGCGATGTGTGATATTAGATGGATCGCTTGTATGAGCGGATATGGATACAATGTACTGCTATGCTGAGACCCCTGATATCTGCTAAGATGTTGGTATAGGCCTATCCAATATCTCATGATCCACTCACCATACGCATGAAAGTCACGAGGACTTGCGCTCATAACTCGGTAATGCAGCCTGGACGGCAGCGGTGGCCAAATCAATTTCCTTCTGCTCCTCCTGGGTAGGCTGAAAAAGACCTTCAGCGACTCCACTGACGTGTTCAATACATCAATGGCATACCGGGGGCTTCTGATCGCCCAAAAGCGCTTTCTCCGCTTCCATCTTTTCCAAAAGCTTGCAAAAACCGTCAGCTTAAGTAATACGCACCATCATCGGGTTGCTCACCTCTGCGAATGGGAAAGTATGATTAGAACCAACCCCAAGTGTAAGCAACAACCTTGAACACGCACCTTGCCCTCTTCTTAGAGTGTCACGGTGCACCAGCCCAGCGGCGACAATCCCATACACGCTCAGTCCCACACATGATAGTACAATTCCGCGCTGTAGGACATCCCAGATTGAAAGGCCTGGGACCACCAACCGTGATCTCTGCAGCCTGGCCTGGGCACGGTAAAGACGGGCAGTGGAACGCATGTCCTCGACAAGGAGGTCGGTGGCTGAAATATGCGTCTGAAGTCACCTCGGCAATTACCGACATTGATCTTCGCGTCCGACGCCATTTTTCACTGAAATGCACAACAATACTTCCGCAATCAACACTCTAGCGACTGCAGGATACGTTGAACAGGTGGACATGTCATAACTGGTGCTAATAGTACAAAAACATGAACAAGAATCGGTAGCTAATTATGCAACGACGGGCAATTACTCATTAATCGTCGTAGACAACGCAACAGCCGGTGCTCTATGCCGTAGCGTTGTTGAAGATAAGGATGTTGACCGTCTTAGGAGGCAGGTCGGCCAGGACGTCCTTGCTCGCAAGGGCAATCAAGGCCTTCTTGAGCTGGGTGGGCGAGAGGGTCTTGGGGCCGTCAGGGATTGGAGCAACCGCGCTGATCAGCTCCGGCGAGGGCATGAACTCAGCGACCCAGCTGGGGAGGACCGAGTGAGCGAGCCTGTACACGGACGAGAGGCCGGTGGAGCTGCGCTGGCTCTGGAGAGCAGAGGGAAGGAAGTCATCGTCAGCGATGGACGGGTTGAAGGTCTCAGACGGGTAGAGGGACAGCAAGTAGGCGAGCATGCCGGCAGTGTGGGGGGATGCCATGGAAGTACCGGACATGGTAGTAATCGACTCGTTGCTGCCGATGTAAGTAGACACGATGTTCAAGCCTAATCATGCCGTCAGAGGCATATTCACAGGTTCTCGAAAATCACAACGTACCAGGAGCGAAAACATCGACGCATTCACCGTGATTGGAGAAGTAAGCCCTCTCGTCAGCAAGGGTGGAGGCACCGACGGTGACGGCCTTCTCAGCAGCAGCAGGGGAGTACTGGCAAGCATCACGGTTGTCGTTACCTAGTCAAGGGGACGTCAGCATCAGGTGCATGGTCAAGCCCAAATAAATACGTACCAGCAGCGACAGCGAAGTGCATGCCATTGTCGACGGCGCGGTTGACAGCATCGTCCAGAGCACGAGACTTGCCACCGCCGAGACTCATGTTGGCAACGGAACCCTTGTGGCTGGTCTTGCCAGTAGCCTTGAATTCTGCCAACGCAGCATCCGCCTTGTTCTTGGCCTCGGTGGCTGCCCACACAACACCCGCAACGACATCGGACATGGAACCGCTGCCGTTAGAGCCCAAAACCTTCACTGCAATAACATGCGCAGCCTTGGCAACGCCATACTTGCGAGATGCGATCGTGCCAGCGCAGTGGGTGCCGTGACCGTTGTTGTCCTCGTCGTAGTCGTTCTGAGGAACGGTCTTGCCCCACTTGGCACGACCTTCGAACTCGACGTGGTTGACGTTGATGCCGGTGTCAATGATGTACACATCGACGCCCTCGCCGCCCTGGGGGTCATACTCGTACTTGCGGAAGGTCGCCAAGTTAAGCTTGTTGCGGTGACTGACGCGAGCCAACCCCTGCAATGACGCGTCAGCGCCATTTCCCACGGTAATGACTGCGGCGGTAACCTACCCAAGGCGCCGCCTTCTGCGTCTTCAGCGACTCGGTGGCAACCTCCATCGTCTTCACCACCTGATCCTTCTCAACGTAGTCCACCTCAGGCATCGACCGGATGGCGTCAAGCGTCGCCTCGGTGAAGCGACCCGCGTACCCCTTGATGTGCCCGTCATAGACGTGACGGAGACCCGCCTCCTCACCGTCCAGAGGGTCCGCCTCGTGCACGCTCTGCAGGAAGTTGAGGTGATTCTGCATGAGCTCGGGGTGCACATCGCTCCTTAGCATCACAATGTACGAGTTGTTGACGGTCCCGTGCGGGTGGAACGCCTCAACGAACGGCGCGGGAACGAGGGGCGAGCGCCCGCGAGGCGCATAATGAGGAGAGGTAGACAGCGGCGTAGCAAGCCCCGACGCCGCCAGGGATACTGCCAGTAAGGACAGACTCAGTATTGAAGGAGACATGGTGGGTTGAAGGTGGTGGTAGCGGTGAAACGGAACAGCGTTCAGCTTGGGGTCATGATAACGCGGCCCGTGTTTGCATGTATTTGTATTGTGGCGGGTCAGGGTACAGCACCCCACCAGAGGCTGACCGTCCTGTGATAGGCACATACAAACCCCGATACGTGCCCTGCGTCCGTCGCAGCTGCCCCGAAACGTTGCGCTTAAAGATACCACTGCGCTGCCTTACGTCTGAGTCCCAGCAATGCGATTACAGCACACTGTCCATAGCTTTATACAGGCAGTAAACTATCATGAGAGGTCGTACGAGTAGCGAGCTCTAAGCAACGTAATGCCTTCTCCCTATTCGAGCAATAGCCGCTCCCACATTGTCTTGGAATGCATCGCCCCCTAACAGCTTGAGGATACCCGCCCGCTCGAAGGCCTCGTGAGGACCCCTTTTCAAATGCGTGATAAACAGCTCGACGTCGCGGCTCTAAACTGCGTGTCATCACCTGTGCCCGGATCATAAGAAAGGATCGTCCGTACCTTGTATGTCTCAAGCAACTCATAGAATATTTGTGCAGCGCTGCAAGTTGAGTCAATGCCATCCAGGGACTGGGAGTATTTATATCACGCACGATGCATCAACGGAGTCGACATCAGCCATGTGGAAGATAAGGACAGCTGCCTCTTCCCGTCGAGGTTCCTCCGAGGGATGACTTGGGTCAACGCCGTACAGCTCCAACCTGCGCAAACGCTCTATGCAACCACTCTCACGTCAACTGGTAACGCAAATGCACCAATCAAATCCACAATACCTTTTAGCTGCGCAGTATTCGCTTCACACGACCGTCAGCTCCCGCACGATACGATACCAGTTCGGTGGTCACTCACCAAAGTCGAGATTCTCCCGAATCCTAACAATGAGAACCCCCGGGACTTCTTCCCTGGCCTCCGGGTTCTCGCTTATCGGCTTCCACTGCTCCGTACCAGGTATTCTGCCCTATATGGAGTCACGAGAAGTCAGCACGCCGGATCAGTCCAGAGTCGCGCCACCTCAATCTGAGCTTACCAAAATAGTCATCTTTGGCTTGGAGGACCGGTGGACGACCAGGAGGAGCGAGATAATCAGGCTGACCGTGATACCGATTTCGATGTTCCAGATGATGGTGAAGGCGAAGGTGAGGAACATGAGCCCGAGGTCTATCCACGAGCGCATCTTCCAATAATAGCGGACATCGTGAGGGGTCTCAGCCAGTAGACTGAATACTACCATCGCAATACTGTAATGGTGTGAGTCCAAGGTTGGAGAATCACAGCAATTGGTACATACATTGCTGCGAGAACGCATGTAGGAAGGTGATAGAGCAGCGGCAAAAGGAAGAAGGTCGCGAGCAGGACGATGGTCGAGCATATGAGTGAGGCCATCTGCGTCCGACATCCGACGTCTCCATTGATGCGTGACCTAAGGACGAGGCATTAGACCTGTAAAAAGGGTCCATCGGGGAATGTTGACCTCACTATACCTTGTGATGGAACCGAAAGCAGGAAGTGTACCCGGAACGAATGAGCCCATGAGATTGCCCGCTCCGAGTGCGACAAGCTCTCGATTAGGACTGATTGAATACCCAAACTTTCCCGCATTCTGCTTCGCAGCAACTATACTATCAAGATAGCCGATGACAGAGCATAGTCTACCAACGTCCATTAATATTACGGATCAGGATACGTGCCTGTAAGGACTTACACCGCCGTCGAGGTCGTGGACCGCAAATACGAGAGGTTCCTATGTCGGAACGGTAATCTGAAAAAGTGCTTTCCTGTATTCGTGTTGACTGAACCAAGGATATCAACACCGTCGTCGTCCCAGTCGAACTGCTGCGACACAACTGCGTACGTTTCCCGATTAGAGCGAATGGCGAATGTCAATAAATGAACATCCATACTAGTCGAGACCACCACTACAATGAGAACTTCGGGTATCCGATAAATCCACCAATACTTCTTAAATCCCGTCTTCACCGTCCGGAGCACAACCAACGTCGCCAGGGCGCCGAAGCTGATAAACGTAGTGAGCTCGTGGCTCTGGGGTATATGTTCTATGAGGAAGAACAGTTTCTCCATGGTAGTGTGTGGGTTGGCGAGATGCTCGGCGTGAACCAGCCCCAGCATCGGTATAAGCTGCTCACTGAAGCAGACATGAGTACACAGTCGTAAGACTAATAAATGGACTAACATCATAATAACTACGGCCACAGCCGTGATGAACCCCCGCAGTAAGGCTCGGCTCAGGACCACGTCGATGAAGCCAAGCCGGAAGAATCCCAGGAGGAAGGATATCAACCCGACCTGGAACGTTATAATGGTACTGACAGCTATACCGACTGCATCCGGGTCTACAGGGTGAGTATGGGGGTCTTTGTGCAGGATATCTGAGACAGCTTGGCCGACGAGCAGACTCAGAGCCGCTTCGGGAGCGACGTTGAGTTGCCGAGAGGTCCCCAGCAGAGCATATATAATTCCGGGTATTGAGGCTGAGAACTGATTGCATTCAGTAATCATATATTAGTGAAGGATAGCGTCCTTACCAGACCAGCGACTGGACTGAGCTTTGCAAGGGAGGTCGCATAACTAACGGACTGGGGGATTAACATGCAGGCTACCGTCACACCAGCAAGAAAATCTCCTCCAAGTCTCCACATATCCTCAGTTCATATGATATACGACAAACCCACGAAATACGTACAATGACCAGGAGTAATTTGGGATCCAGGCGGTTGACGGTATGTAATACCGTACCTTTGCCCATCGGGACCTCTGTGCCCGTTTCGGAGGTTTGAAGTACTCTTTAAGCCAACGCAAACGTCACGAGTCAGCTACATTGACACTTCAAGCGGGACATGAACAGCATAATAAATTGGGACACGCACCAGAACTGGCCTCAGACTGTGCTCCACTGTAGTACGGGCCCCTCTCCTGTACGGGCGAACTTTCCGGTAACAAGGGCGACGCCTCTCCGACCTCTCTAGCCATAGAACGACTAACGGTGTCGATGCCTGCTACGGACAATGTGGAAGGGGCTCTGGAGAAGAACGGTGTCTGCGGAGTGCTGCCCGCAGTCGGGGTAACTGGCGTTTTGCTGCCGCCTTCGTCATGCCGGTTCATTTGGGAATCGTTATGCCTGGCCTGGATATCTTCAAGGGGGGGTCATTAGGAGCGACCGCAGGAGCGGTCCGCGCGATATGGAGGTCAAAATATAGAGGAGGCTGCTTGATCGGATTCATGCACGCCGGATACGTGCCGAAGGCACACTCGCGCTCAGCCAGTAAAACCCCCGCTATTTATCTGATAGCGCTGGAATTCGTCCTTACGTTTGTACTACCATTGCGACCGACATATGCACGCTTGAAGTAGTGGCAATAAGTGTATTAGGCATGAGGCAGTACTGGTACAAGTGACTTTGTGTTTCCCGCCGAGACCGTTCATAGGGAGCAGGACGAGGTCGGATGGGTTGACCATCGAGAAACCATGAGTACGACCTAGCTGCAAGCCTATATCCCATGGTGCTCATGCGTCAGGGTACTCGTAGAAACCCTTGCCGTTCTTCCTGCCGTACCACTGAGCGTCGACCATCCTCTCCAGTAACACTGAAGGCCGGTACTTGGAGTCACCCGTGCCCTGATACAGCGTTTGCTGGATAGCGAGACAAGTATCAAGTCCGATGCTAATAGCCATTGGCATGATCAGACACCAAAAGGTATATGTCCGGAAGAAGAGGCACTTACAAGTCAGCTGCAGGAAGGAATATCAATAACATGACCTCAAAAAACGTGTTCGGACGTACCCAGTTCCAATGGGCCCATAGGATGGTTCATCCCCAGTTTCAGGGTCTTATCGATGTCTTCTTTGGTAGCTACCCCCTAATTAGCACGTCAGATACCCCCTACATATACCGCGACAGACGCAAACACTCACTTTCTCGAGCCACATAATAGCCTGCAGAAGAAAGAGACCCAATGTCAGGTAGCTACAGCCAGCAACACTGTGTTACCCACCTCATTGATGAAAGGCATTAGCAACGCATTCGAAACGAATCCGGGGACGTCCTTAGACACGGTGACCTCTGCAAGACATCAGATTAGGTTCTCGTTCGATTATGAAGGGATGCGACAGATCGCGGTGATCACAGCGGCTCCGTATTGCCAGGCTGCTGATCCCCGGGACCACCACACCTCTGCGGAATATATGACTGACCTTTGCCGCACGCCACCGCGAATGCCCTCGCTCTGTTGAGTGTATCTTCCGACGTTTGAAGCGCAGATATCAGCTCCACTAATTTCTAGGTACAGACTCTTCAGCAAATACTAATACGAGGATGCCTGCACCTACCATCACGGGGACGGGATTGAAGAAGTGCAGTCCTGTAGTTCAAAGCATACCTTCGTTCCTGAGTTTGCTACGTCTCATGAGAGTTTGAGATCACCAACCGACGACGCGCGCCGCGCTCTGTTTCCCTGATCCGGATGCACTTGACTGCCCCTCCGGGATGGTTGACGCAGCAATCTTAGTTATACTGATGGAGGAGGTATTGGAGGCAAGTATGGCGTCCGGTCGGCATTCAGCGGACAGAGACGAGAAGATCTTCTGCTTTAATGGCAGATTCTCTGAGACCGCCTGGGCGACGTAGGGGGCATTAGCTCAACGAGTCTACTGGCAAACAGAGCATTGCATACCTCCACGACCATATCAACGTCTCGAAAGCCCTTGTACGCCTGGTCCTGGCTAACCACCGTGACCCGGTCTCTGGCCTCCTTCGCCTCTATGTCCTGGATCTTGCCTTTGCTCACGTCTTTAGCCAAGAGCTTGTCCATGAACTTGAGGCCCTTTTCGATCTGCTCCGTCGACCGGTCATACAGCAGAACAGGAACTTTCGCTCTCAGAGCTGCGACGTACGCAATCCCGAGGCCTGGTAGTGCATGATTTCAGCCACCACTCTTGTAGTACTGCATGATGTCGTAGCGCACGTACCCATTTGGCCCGAACCAAGCACACCCAATGTACGAATTCCGTGAGCTATCGACATCTTGGAGCTGCCCAATTGTTCCCTCTACGATGATGGTATGAATTGCCCACAAACTCGCGAACTCGAAGTTCCGGGAAAGTGAACCCAGCGGTCCATGTGCATGTGATTTGAATTTCTGGCAACCGTAAATCAACGTCTCAATTGCAAGTCATCATCCGTCTCGACATCATGAGCTTGTTCTGAGCTACATGGGATGGAACGCTCGCAGGATCTAGAGGTATATGCATTGCCATTTTGCTGGCGATGTCAAAGAAAGGCGCAGGTACATTAAGGGGATGACATGGACGCTATCAGCTGTAAGTAATTGAGGAGGACTTCAACACCGTCACTGTAATATCGCAGGATCGGAAGTTGTCTACCTCAGGTCTACCTGCACGCCGGGCGTTACAAACGATAGGCCTAGGCATCGGGCGTGAACTACGCTGATGCAAGACTGTTGCACGCCGAGCTGAAGACGGGTAAGTACCTGACTTGATTTACTCTTCCCCTTCGCCCATTCCCTCAAATTTCACATCAATCTCCGCAACAATACCTGGTCAATCCCGCGCAGCACTAGTCGAGTGATGTTTGTCTTATACGCCATCACAGTCATGTTCATACAACTATTGAACAGATATGCCTTCGCGCGTCTCGTTTACGCAGCCTCTCCCCGCTTCGATGCCCGCACTATCAACAGCTCAGCTTCGCCGGCATGAACCACGCCGCCGAAGGTGATGCGTCTTCCGATGGAACCAGTCGACAGCTCTCTTCCACAAGGACGCTCGAGGTGGAGAACTCGAAGGGGAGGAGTGCCAACCTGCTGGCTCGACGTTTTCGCGGGACACGGGTTCACTATGTTCGCGCTCTTCCATCTCATTGTACGGAGGAGGTACGACCACCCATGACGCCAGCGATCCTCGTGTATCCTCGGACCCCCCGACTTGAGAGTCATCTCGAGAGGCATTGAACGCTCGTGAAGGTGCGTTCTCTTTCTGAGAGCTGGATTGCGTTACGAGCCGAACCGTTGGACGGGTAATCTATGATAGGATGAGACCTATGAGCATGACTATGCATATTCACCAGGCGCAGCAATGGTCACCGACATTAGCAAGTGTGTCTTGCATATCTTCCGGTAGCTGACTGCGCCGGAGAGGTTTGACCAGGGTCGCATTTTCCTGACATGGTGACGGCGAGCGCGAATTCGTCTGGCTGCCGTTCATCGTAGATGGGAATAGGAGTGGCAGGGTAGGTGGCTCGAAGACTGGGGTGGTGAGATAGCTCACGTCCCTACCTCTCCTTCCTCTTATACCCTCAAAACCAAGCCACAGCTAGTACAGAGCCTCGCACCAGTGAGACATTCGCGCATTGAAAAGGCTCCATCTCATTGATTAGATAGCGGTCCGTCTAAGCTGGGATGAAAGGAGCCATCGTTTGTTCATTGTGCTCGAGCCACTTGTGGCACAGGAAGGTCCATTACGTCCAGTTGCCAGATCATGCGCATCGGAGCCGCAGCGAATCAAAGACGAGAACATCCTCGTATCATATTGGGCGTGCTTGGGGTGACTCTTCGGCTAAACGAGATGCCACATCGCATGATGTACGTACGCGAGGATGGGAGGGAACAAAGATTGTGTTCTGTCTATATTTCAGTAGGCTCAGTGGGCTCTCGTTTGCCAGCATCGATTAAGGGATAGCCAATTAACCGTCCAACCTGTAGAGTAGAACGAGATATGGATCTCGCCTACCCCTTGCCATGCGATTGGGATACACGGATTGATGGAAGCTCCTCGTCTCATATTCTACAGTTGAATGACAATGGTCCAGTCCTTCGTGACAAACACCCCCGGATCTTTGATGATCAACACACTGGCCTCACCTTCCTTCTTACCCTCCGCGGCAACACCAGAAACGAATTCGGAGACAAGGTCATCACCGCCTTCTACCTTCACGCCGACTGGCTTGCTGGTCAATCCGAGCAGCACGATTTTCTCAACCCTCACCCCTTCCACACTCTTTGCGAAGGCATTCAGAGGATCATACTTCGTCAGTGACACACCGTCCACAGCGGCGTCAGGGTTCTTCGAGACCAAGTCACTACTGCTGATCTTGATGGTCTTAGACTTCTTGGCGGTCTTTTCGGCCACGAACTCCCTCCAGACGATATTCCCTTCAAGGTGAGAGAATGTCTCGCCGTCGTCGAGGTACAATTCCCCGCGGGCGTAACCTGTCTTGTCGAGTGCGACGCGAAGCGTAAATGGATCACGCTTCATGAGCGGTGACGATCTTCTGGGACGCTCTCTCGTCGGAATGATAGATCCACCCCGGATCAGCAGGGGTATTTCGTGTATCGCCGCCGGCACAATAACTTGTTTGCCTTTGGCGGAGCCTCGATAAGCATGATGCGAGAAGTAGTTGTAGTAGACCTGGCCATCATCACGCATAAGTAGCGGCAATGGCAAGAGTAATGAACACCCAGCGTACCTGGTCCTCAGGGAGGTACACTTCGATCTCGGTAACATCCTTATGAACCACGGGCTTCACCAATAGCCCTGACCCACCGATAAAGTACTGATCATCGAGAGTGAATCCAGCCTCATCACGAGGGAAAACGACGTAGTGAGGTCTATGAAGCAATTCCATTAGAATTCCCTCCGACCAAACCGTGAAGCAGCTGACAGCAGACACATACCGCAAAACAGGGATCCCGGTGACACTGGCCTCATGGAAAGCGGTGTACCACACGGGCAACATCGTATATCTTAAGCGGAGGATGTCGCGCAACATGCCCCGATAGGGCTCATCAATGAGGTACGGTTCCCTCCGCTTCGTATCCAGATGCGCATGGGCCCTGAAGAAGGGATTGAACGCGCCGACTTGATACCACCTTACTAGCATCTCAGGTTCGGGGTTTCCGAAGAAGCCCCCGACGTCAGCTGCATGGATAGTGCATCAGTAGCATGCTGCAGTATTTAGCGCAATTACTGACATCCAGCGAAGGTCATCCCGGCGATGCCGTTGGCGAGGACCATGTAGATCCCTGCGGCCATGTGATCCCAGGTGCCCAGGTTGTCCCCAGTCCACATAGCGCCGAATCGCTGGGAGCCAGCATAGAAGGACCGGGTGAGGACAAAGGGACGCTTCGGCGGATCTGAGCGAGCGATGAGGGCTTGAGACGTTATGTTGGGCTAGATGGTGCGTTAAGGGACACTGCCAGAAAGCTTAAAGAGCGTGGTGACGTACCAGGAGCATGCCGTTGATGTTGTGCACATCGCGATGCTCCCAGCCTCCGTAGTGGATGTTATCCCGCGGCATACTGATCTCGGGACCATTGAAAACGGATGGCTAGAAGGACTGTCAATGATAACTTGTTCCTTTACCCTGCAATAAATGCACAAACCTCGTTCATATCGTTCCAGATGTACGTGTTATCGGTACTCTCAGTCCATGACCACTTGTTGCCCTGGCTGGTGGTCTTGAAGAGGCGCTTCCACCATTCCCAGGAATTAGGATTGAAGAAGTCGATCCAGGAACTGCTGCCGCTCCAGCACCAACCTTCATATTCTGAATCGCCGCTCTTGCCCTTGACAAGGACGCCGAGTTCTGATGCTTCTTGATACACAGGGTAGTTTGATGTCCGTTTCAAGTGCGGGTCGATGATCACAACCATCTAGGGCTGTATAAGTACTTTGTGCTCGATAGTACGCTCAAGCTCTCACCTTACGACCGAGAGCCTCGACGTCGTGCATCATGTCCACTGGGTCGGGGAAGTTCTTCTTGTCCCAGATGAAGTACTTATGTTCCTCCGCGTACTCAATGTCGAGCCAGAAGACGTCCACGGGCATGTCATGCTCATCGAATCGCTTCTGGACAGAGCGGACATCATCTGAGCTGATATAGTTCCACCTGCACTGGTGGTATCCCAGCGACCATTGCGCGGGCAGAGCGGGGGTGCCAGTCAACCTGGCGTACTGACCGAAGATGTCATCCGGGGTCGGTCCAGGCATGATGAACACGTCGAGGATGCCCGACTCGGAGATCCAGTGCGTGTTGGTAGACTTGGGCGTGGGGTGGTCTACATCAATCCACGTCTCTGACGCCACCGCGTTGAAGATCGCCACGGTCGAATCCGCCGCGTGCGCGTGCATGACCGGGATGGAGCCGTACAAAGACATCGTGGACGAAGCCATGTACTCGAACACGTCCGAGTTCCACAGCCGGTACGGATCAGAGTATGTAGGGTTTTCACCAGTGGTCGTAGGGAGGTCGAGGCGAGTCGCGTGCTGAGGGATGCCATACACATGCCCGTGGTTCGGGAACTCGATGTCGATCGACAGTGACTCCGGCCCTGGGATCATGTCAGAAGCCAGAGAGGTGGCGAAGAACGGAAACGCACCTTTAGGTTTCGAGTCGGTGTTGCCACCGAAGGACTCTTCCCAGTAACCATCCTCCGTCTCGCCTTCGAACCACGCCATTGGTCTGACCTTCATAACCGCTTGAGCTTCTTCATCTAAGCCTTCCTCAGGAGTTCCCTCAGGCCTCGAGCTCTCCTTGGTCCTGAAGTGCTCCATATGAAGCAGCCCGCGTCCATTCAAGACAACTTGCTCTTTCCCGTTCCGCAATAACGCGACTCGCAAAGGCTCGAAGTTGACGACAACCTCGGATTCCTTCTTGGCTCCATACAATGCACGCACGTCTTTCTTCCCCACAGTCCATGAGATGTCGCGACTGAGCTTCGGTTCCGCTATGAGCGCCCAAGAAGCTGCCTCGTCATACCGCTTCCTCAGACCGTCCACCTCGTCCATTCGGACTCGTACTACGCCGTCATCGTGTATTCGCACGTCCAAGCTAAACTTGATATCCGGGTATAGAGACGACTTGACTCCCGCTGTAAATGACGCCTGGTCGGACGCCACAGCGAGGCTCGACGAGTCGACAGAGTACGGTGACTTCCATGACGCAGTCTCCTGTGCTCTACTTGCCAAAGCGCGGCCTCGGCGACAGAATCCAGCTTGGGCACAGGTCTTGAAGTCCTGGGTTTTAACGGCGAAAGTTGAAGGGACATAGAGTAGCAACAGAAGTGCGCCGCTGAGTGTCACGGCGCGCACCATCGCGCATAAGTATCAGAAGTACCGCAGAGAATCGTATCCGTGAGGGAACTCAGTCGGCCACCTCGCTGCTGTACTGAAGACCTGAATAGTCAACGTTATGTCTGACGACGTTGACGATCGCTCGCACGTCGGTGAGAGTGCAATGTTGCACAAATTAAGTCACGTGTTACATTGACAGCTCACGTGATTTATGTGGCCACCCGTCGCATTTCGAAAGACTGGCCGACTTCAGAGTGAAGTCTTAGTGACAGCCAGCGGGGGAAACGGGTAATTCGTATGGCTCTGTAGGTGCAGATTAATGGATGAAAGCCTTGTGAATCTATCGTAGTTGCACGCCCGTGTACCGAATAATCTCTCATTAAGCACCGGTTGACCGAGGCCATATATAAATTTTGGGTCAGAGGGATAGGATGGGAGCACAACAGAACTTAAGTTTTTTAACATTGTGGCGTCAGGCCATCTCTCTGTTGAAATAATTCCGCTTGTATTTTCTGCAGTCGGATATTCCACTAGATGACTGAGCAGCGCCTTAAGCAGTCCCAGTACTAGTTAACAGGAGGTACATAGAAAGAAACATATCGCTACACTGCAAATACAAGTTTGATTCCGCGATGCATGTCCCGGTACAGCCACATCTTCCATAGTCTGCTCGGACTCCTCGGAACGGCGCCAGAGTAAGGTTAGGGTTGACTAAAAATACCACAGCGCGTCGGGATGCCAATCCTGTCGCCGTCTGGGTCCTCCCCAACGTCCTCTTCACCAGCTGTAATACCCTCCGCATTGAAGATCATGGCACCGGATCCGACGACTCTCCACGGCGGGTCTCTGCTAATTGCCTGGCAGCTGACCAATAAACGCGTTCTCATCGTTGGCGGCGGCGACGTCGCGTCGGGTCGGCTCGAATCTGCCCTCGTCGCCGATGCGAATGTTACTCTCGTCGCGCCAGCACCACTCCATCTTCTTACGCAGGAACTTGTTGACCTCCTTCCTGATCGGATAACATGGCACGATCGCGAATTCCAAGATTCGGACTTGCTCGTTGACCCGGCGGAACAGAAATACGTATCAATGGTGTTCACAGCAATCGACTCATTCCCGGAGTCTCAACGTATCGCACGACTATGTAACGACTTGCGGATTCCGGTCAACGCCGCTGATATACCGGCGCTGTGCGACTTTTACTTTGGCTCGCAAGTTCGTTCGGGGCCCTTACAAGTCTTGGTGTCGACGAACGGGAAGAGCCCGAAACTCGCAAACTTGATCCGGAAGAGAATCGAGAGCGTAATACCCCCGGAGACGGCGGAGGCCATTGAGAATGTAGGCAAGCTCAGGGAGCGGATAAAGGAGAGGGCCCCTGGCGTCGGTAAGCATCACTGTTATACATTGTGAATGTCACGTTACTAGGTTTGTGCCCTGTCAGGTGGGCAAGTGTCCAAGAAACGAATGCGGTGGATGGTTGACCTCTGCGGCAAATGGTCCATGGAGGACCTTGCGTGTCTAGACGACGAGACGATGGGCGCGTTAGTCGATGGAGGCTGGGAAAAAGGCATCGTCCCCGCCCCGACTGATGTGATGGGGGAGAAAGCTCTCCAAAGTAACGGGCATGCTCTGAATGGGAGCGCGAAAGGGGAACCGGAAAGGAGGCACGCAGGCGTTACGCCTGTCGTGGCGGCGTTCGTGGCGGGGGCCCTGCTTTCCGGGCTGACGGTATTGAGCAGGTTGAGGCGGTGATATGCTGTGAGAGAGATGTTGAATTGGATGAATGAGTAAGTGAACATCAAATTGTTCTATGTAGTGAAGGACGCACTCGATATCAATAAGAATATAGAAGTAATGACTTTATACGAAGCGCTCTGTGGAATCCTCTGACGCAAATGTATTATAATGCATATACTCATTCATCATAGAGTTTATCGGCATTGTATGCCTGGTTCTTTCGAGGCAGCCTCTTTCCCTTCCCCATCATTCGCGGCGCTGAATGGTCGTACACCCGAGGATGCCAAGCTGGTACTCGAGAGAACATTCTTGCTGAAGTGCAGACTTGGGCGTCCCGCACACCTGATAGTGCCGAATCAATGCCCATCGGTTACCTCTGTGGCATCGCCGGCTTGGGAAAGACCACGATATCTCACAGTGTTAGCCAATGGCTACATGGCGAAGGTCTTCTTGGCGCGACCTTCTTCTTCTCTCGCGACGACCCGTCCGGGAGGCGTCGAGGACTCAATGACGTATTTCTCACGATTGCGTATCATCTGGCTCACAACTATCCTTCATATGCAGAGCAGCTGGCAATCCCTCTCGAGCACCCGATTTCGGCTCTGCCAGACCGTCAATTCAAGGATCTTCTGTGCGGCCCACTTCTCCGCGCATCACCGCCTCTCCAACCGTTCGTTGTTGTGATCGACGCTCTGGACGAATGTTCAGAAGCCAAAGACTTTATGGCAATCTTTTGCAGTGCGATCGAAGCCCTGGGCTCACGTGTTCGGATATTCATAACCAGCAGACCGACCAAAGATGTAGATGAGACCCTCGCCAAGCATCTCACACGTAGTTTCCGGCTTGAGCAGCACGGAGAGGAAAATAAGCTCGACATAGCGCGCTACATGGCGCTTCAGCTGTCCCTGCTAGCACGCAAACACGGGAAGGGAGAATGCTGGCCAGAGAAGGACGTTCACGCCCGCCTTTTACGTAATGCTGGTGGGCTCTTCATCTGGGCATCCACTGCATGCATGTTCCTTGCCGATTCCCCGGACCTTGAAGCAGACATCATTCTCTTACAGCACTTGGATATCAAGGACAAGGATATTGATGAACCGGAGAAGGCCTTGCATACTATGTACTTGGCGCTACTTTCCCAAGCTTACGACTTCCTTCCTCGCCGGCGCCTTCAGGAATGTTTCAGTCCCGTGCTTGTATTGGTCATATCATCCTACTCTGGTCGAACGATCCAAGAGATTGCTCATTTAACCCAAGCTACTACCTGTGAGGTGGAAACTATCATCTGCAGCCTTCGGGCGGTCCCCAAGTACCCAGAGCATCGTGGAGAGCCAGTGAAGATCTTCCACCCTTCCTTCTCCCGCTTTCTAACATATTCATGCCATGACCATCGATTCAGTGTCAAGTCGGATGGAGGCAATGCGGCTGTAGCTAAAGGCTGTCTAGCTGTTCTACACACTGTGCTACATCAGACGGGTCGTGACCCTCAGATGCTGTTAGCTGGCGATGTCCAGACATGGGAGGCCATTGCTTACGGCGCCCCGACCTATTTCCACGAGGATCACGAGTCGGGTTTTCTGCACGCCCTTCTTCATCTAGCAACACATATCGAAAGAGTTTCATCTCCTGAATCCACAAAGGATCTGATCAAAAGCTTGGAGAAGTTCCTCCGCGTTGATTTCTTTCATTGGGTGATCATGTCATGCTTGTGCTACGGAAGTGCGATGCCCCACGAGGGGGTCGCCGTTATTAGCCGATGGTCAAAGGTGGGTATTTCTTCTTATTCTGGATGAAGAGCGAACCGATAATCTTGCGTGTCAGCATAAAGCATTTGAAGGTATCTTTGGCCCCCGACTCGTGCAGGCGATAAATGAGGCGTATGATTATACATGGAAGATTCAATTTCCTATGCGGTATGATGCGTGGATGACCTATGCAGGCATCATCTGCGATAATCCACATACTCTGATTCGCCACAACTTCCTACGTGGTCACGGAGAAAAATGGGTAGTGAAGGCGAGCTTCGCAGAAACAAGTGGCCAGGGGCTGACCGCACTCACATTCAGTAAGTATGAGGGGGAAGAGGAAGCACAATTTCTGCGCCTCGGAGACTGTCACATGAGACTGTACAAGGTGGGTAGCAGCCATTGATAATGCAGGAACGCAGCCAAGATAAGTTGTTTTAGGATCTCATTGCCAATATATCGAAATTAGCCAAAGATGAAGGCCTGCATCTTTCTGACAGTACTCTTACTGGTGCATTTTTTACGATCCCTAGGTGAGGATTCCTGTCAGACACGAGAGCACCTGTTAGGTCTGATTAGCACGATTCAGCTTTGGCTTCACTATATATGATCCAACAAAGCAAGACCCATTCGGTGAATTGATTAATTGCCTCATTTTACGCGATGCGTTTGTGGGCCTCATGGGCAGATTTACCGATGTATCCCATGATATATTCATCAATGCCCCCCAAGAACCTGGAGAGCAGGGCGTTGATCAGGTCCTTCAGCTTATACAGCTACTGAGTGTCTCAATGCGGTCTAAAGGAGCCGATAAACGCCTGTTGGAAATGTCAATCTCTGAGCGTAGTCTGATCTTCGGAGTTATAGAGACGGCGAGTCTTCTAATTCATTTGCCATATATTACTTAATTAATGGTAAGCAGGCCACGCGTCTCGGATCTGAGGCAAAACGATATGTGGAACAAACGCACGAAGAGGTTCTGCTCTTAGAGGCGGTAATCATGCGTCACGATGTTCGCTGCGATAGCCCGATGCTGACATGACATTATCATAGCTTTCTGATATGTGGGAGACTATATATACCAAGCCCCCGGATATCCGAAACCCTTTCATGTGCCTTGGGGCAATGATTTCCTGGAGAGGACAAAGGAGTGGCGACTTCATAGATGATCTGGATGTCTGTTTGGGCCGCGAAATCCGACTGGAAGTGATTAAATTTGTGAGTGGGGCAGACGAAGCCAGTTGGATGTAGATCGCTAATCCCCCTCAGCGTCTGGAGAGCAAGCGAGGTGCCTACCCACCTCGCCGTATTGACCGCATCATACCTCCTCACGAGAACATCTGCCATTCTTATGGCCTGGCGTGCGACTGGGCCCCTTCGACCCGACTTGCGGTCTTCCCGCTTGTAGACTCTTACCCCGCGAAGACGCGGGCTGCAACGGCGCTTACGCAAGTACGTAACGCCGACGTGTGTCAGTTCCTGACATAGCTCGTTAAGCTATCCATATAGGTAAGGAAATTGGCATCTGCCTTGAAACATTTGCATGGCTTGCATCCTCCAGTGGTTTATGGCCCCCTCGATGAGGTACGTATGCTCCTGGTACCGCAGTAACAGGGACTGATCGCACTTCTTAGCGATGCATTCGGTACAAGCCGGACGGGCAGATAGTGCTCCATGAGTTCAGTCGGTATGGTCCAGATATTTGGGAAGAACCCTTGGACGTCGCGTGGAATGAATCGTAGCTTCCCGAGCGTGTGCCGTTCCATACGCCGCCTCGTATAGCCGATGCGCTCCGGGAGCTGCTGCTAACCTGCTGGCGGCGCAAGCCTGCGGAGAGGCCTACGATGAGCGAAGTCGCCGACCGGCTCGACGTCCTCGACCGGCTCGACGTCCTCGCGGACCTTGTGGAGGGGAGCAACGCAGCTGTGGAACAACCGACAATGACCGAGACTACGGGATAGTGGGGCTTAGTGGCTGCGGGAGCTAGCCCGAGGACAGTGCACCTAGGATGTTCGTCTATGTATATGAGCGAATTCATCTGTACGATCTGTATCTGAACTACGTCTCCCTTCCATATCATACCAAGAAACCAAGAAATTATTATACGTTACATCCCACCCACTCCCATGCCGCTCTACCTATCAGGATACAACACATACATCTCCGCAACGAGCACCGCACACGCCCCCAACATCGCAGCACACACCAGCGGGAAATTGATCTTTGCGAACTCGCGCTGGCGGACGACGATGCCTGCCAGTCAACACCTTGTCAGCGCCGCGTTCGCATACAAAACGAGAGAAGCGCCCCATAGCGTCTAGCGTCCATCGTTCACCATCACCACCCACTCCCACAGCCACGATCCACAAAGTCCCATTGTGCAAGACCAGACATGAACCCCAGTGCAAACCAAACCCGCCTCGGACGAACACGACGCTCAAAGTGAGAAGATGTACGCTTACCTTTCCCCCTCAATATCCCCGCCCACAGCAGCCCCGCCAGGCTCGCGCAGAAGCACTGCGTGAACGCGCCATAATTGCTCCCCACCGCGAGCGCGTATATCGCGCCCTGCTTCTCCGCCTCCGACATGGGATAGCGGGGGACGGAGAAGGATGCTTGGAGCACCTGGGAGAGGAGGATGGTCGCGCCGATGTTCGTCCCGCAGACCTGCGGAGGCGCGTGAGCGCCCGTTCTTCGGGCAACGACGACGGGTGCGCGAGCGACGGTTCGGTGCAGAGAGAGACTCACGTTACACGCCAGGCAGCCGACGAAGCCCATCCCGCCCACCGCGCCGAGCACGCCCGCGACGCGCACCCACGCGGCCCACCAGCGCGCGAAGAGCGGCACCCACGCGTGCGTTGAGAGCGTGTGCGTCAGGATCTGTGTATGCGTTGGAGTTAGCAGCAGCGCTCGGCATGAGGGGAGAGGGGAAGATCGACGACAGCAAAAGAACCAAAAAGAACCGGATGAGCAGGAACAGAGACAAAAACCGAGCGAGAGGAAACATGGATAAAGAGGTCGATATATGCGCATGCAACCCAGTTCATAAACGCAGACAAACCAAACCGGGACCCGAGGAGGACCAGACAAACTTACGAACATCTCGAACGCGAACGGGACGAGCGCCCACGGCATGCGGCTCGCGACGGCGCACACCGTCGGGAAGCGCGTCCTGACTCTCTTCGCCATCACTTCCCCTTTGCTTTTGCAAACCTCGAACGCCGCCGCGACGCGGTGCTCGACCGCTCGGACAGACTGGCTGGGAACTCGCAGCCGGAACGTGATTGGCTGCGGGGCGGAGGGGTCTGGTTTCGGGTTAGGGTTCGCCGCGTCCATCCCGGTATCCCGAGGTGGGGTGAACGCGCGCATCTCCACGTCGTCCCCTTCTACATCCCCTCTCTCCTGCGCCCGCGGATCTCCGCTGGCCCCCATCCCCTCCCGCGTTCCCCCGCCGCGCCCCTTCCGCCAGTCCACCCACGCATCCGACAGCACCATCGCCCCCGCCGCGGGCGCGGTCACCTCCCACACCCGCACCCTCCCGCTCAGACTCGGGACGGAGCTCGTTGCCACTAAAAGCACGAGCGCTGAGAGCAGGAGCACGGAGCCGACGAGCGCGGAGAGGGGGGCGAGGAGGAGCGCGGGGGCGTCCGGGGAGGAGGCGGAGAGGGCGATGTGTGCGGGGATGAGCGGGTGCGGGTGGGCGTCCTAGATAAGCGCGGATGGGTGGTTAGAGCGCAGGGGGTGGAGTGGGGGACGTACGGACAGGTGGTCTTCGTCCTCTCTGTTTGTGTTTAGGTGTCTCGGCGCCCACCAGCGGAATTGTATCACCAGGACAATGCCGACGAGGAAGGCGGAGAGGAGGAAGGGGAGGATGACGTGCGCGGTGTAGGTGAGGAAGGGGAGCGCAAAGGTCGAGGTGAGGACGAGGTTGGTCGGGTTGGAGGGCGGGAGGGGGAGCGAGGCTGGGTGACTGCGTGGTTAGGGCAGGAGAGGAGGCGACGTAGAGACTAGTGTATATACCCATATTGGCTGCGACGAACTGCGCGTATATCCATGCAGTGGGCGGAGTTATGCTGGGGCAAAATAGGCTGAGCACGACGAAAGAAGGGGGATGAGCGAGGGAGATCCGGACGTACCCCGCTACACGAGTAAAGTACGCAAGAAAGGCGGTTCCCGAGAGGATCACGGGGTCATTCCCGACGATCCCGGCAATGACGAGCCAGAACAGATAAAGGTAGATGTACAACCGGAGACCCGAGCGGCCGGTCGGGTTCCGCGAGGGTCCTCTGGCAACGCGGAAGGCAAGGTAGCGGAAGAGTCCTGTAGTATCCAGGGATATCGACAGGTACGCCTGGACGCGTCTTCCCTCAACTCTTCGTCACTGTCCTCCACAGGAGACGCACCAGAGATATGAACAGCGCCATCACGTCTATCGGCTTGACCCCGCCCGTGCCCAGTATACCCTCGCGTATTGTCACGCCATCAATAGCCCCCGCAGCGAGCAGGATGAAGAGCGTGAGCAGGGGCGCAGTGTGCAGGTTCAATGGCAGCTTGAGGGACGTGTGCGGGAGGGGGACGTGGAGCGGGACAATGACGAGAACGTCTGGGACCGTGTCAGGCAGACAAAGAATAAGCATTAGTCGACGTACTGGTTAGGATGAAGAGCACGAGCACAAGGATAGACGACCACGAAGAGACGCTGGTTTCGACAGACGCAGAGAAGACTGGGAACGAGCCAGGATCTGGTGAGGCGAGTTTAGACATGGCAGGCTGCTGGTGTGGCTAGAGCTAGGTCTGTAGGTCAGCCAGCCATCCAGATGTGCTCGAAGCCAGGCGGAGATGAGTCCACGGTGCTGGCGGAGGCGCGCACTTGTGGAAAGTTGTGTGCTCGATCGATGAGCGCATAGTACGCGATCGATCGAGATCTCCTCCTCCGGACCGGCCAACCCCGAGCACACTCTCCGTGTCGCCAATATTGCTATTGATATTTGACCTTGTTCAACGGTCTACGGATCCATGGCCCTCAGAGCGCGATGGGCCCTTACTATAGACGAATGACAGGCATAACACGCGACTGCTGCGTTTGGACTCGTCTGAATTCTGCCCAAAGATGTGCCTGACGACTCGTCTCAGATTCAAGTTATGCTACCGCCGATATCAGTGCAAGACGCTCATACGAGAAGGACGGCGCCCAGATCGTACGTTTTCGTAGAATTGGCACTGAAAAGATGTTAGGGTGAGCGCATTAACGCTGTGCAGGCTGCGGTGAGCGGACAGGTATCCAATGCCATAGAAGATGCGGAGGATATTATTCTCTAAACACGGGACATGCAAGCAAGTGGGAGAGCGTGCTTGGCAAGAAAGGGTGGGAGTTGAAGCGCAGAATATTTTTGAACTCCATGACAGTTCCTGGGGCAGTGACTCAGAGAGAAAATGCAGCGGCGAAACGCTTTGACGACGAACACGCGGCCGGCCACCAAGCAAGACTATCTGGTGTCCTGTCGCTCAAATGTCTTCGAATCCACGTTGCCTTGTGTGTCTGCTATTTCTTGAATGCTGCCAGGATGATCGCGAATATCCGTGCAGATGCTATAATATTGACGTTATGTGAGTGCCACTGTATGCGCCGAACGTATGGGCAACATCGATTGGTCTATGTGCTCATACTGGCATCCTTCTTAGGGCCTGTCCCTGTTCAATAAACCATCCAGTTGCGGATTCGGGCATAACTTCTGTGCCGACAGCACCGCGAAGTGGCTCTTCTCTCGTCTTCACAAGGAGTGCGGAGCCTGGCACGACGGGTTGGATTGTCCCGTCTGTCGGCGCACCCCAGCCCGTTCCGCACCACCGATCCTGCGCATCTCTGTTGCCGCCTCCCGATTGCATGGCGGACGCATCAACTCACCTCGCTCTCTCAGTGAGATACATACTTCGACAAGGAAGAACAATTGAACGCCAAACAGCTATCGCACCCTCGATCTGGTCGCGCGAGCCGGTCAGGATCCCGCGATTATTGCGCTCTTGCTGTTCGCAACGATGACAGCGTTCGACGTATCCGCCTGTAGTACCTATCTCTGAACATCACGGCCCTGGATCTAACCATGCTTATCACTGGGTCTCGTCCATAGCCTGGCAGTTAACAAAAAGCGCGTCCTCTTCCGAGACGTCGCGTGGTCGGCACGAAACTGCCCTTGTCGCGGTATGAGTGACACTGGTGAATTTCGAAAGTCAGACGTACTTATTAACGCCGCCGAGCAGGAATGCGTATCGATGGACTTGCTCCGCGAGTTCCGCGTATTGTGCGACTGTGTTACGGCCTCCGTATCCAGGGCAATGCCGGTGACCGTACGGGGAGACGTGATTTTGTGCATTGGCTCGCCGGGTCGTTCGCCACCCTTAGAAGTCCTGGTGCTTACATTCGGAAAATCTACAAAGCTGGCCATCTCGATCCGGAATGAAGCGAACAAAGTTACACGAGACGACGCCTGGCGTCGGTGAGCATCACTTCCATTCATTCGGATGTCCAGGTCCCGAGACTCATCTTCCCATCCAGACGGGTACGTATCGAAGGAACGTATGCGCTGAATGGCGGAGCCTTGTATGTCATGTCTAGATGTCAAGGTGATGAGCGGGCTAGTCGAAGGAGGCTGGAAAACGGGTGTTGTAGCGGCACCTCTGCCGGGAGCAAAAGGAGAGCTTGAGAGAATCAGCAGGGTCATGGATGTTTCATCTATCTTCAGCGCCCTCGTGTCTGGGGCGACGCTATTCGTATTAATTCTTCGGAGTAAAGTGAGGCGATAGGAAAAAGCTCTGCCGAAGTCCAAGATTCTTTTGCTTCGATTTAGTATGTCAGAACCAGTCGGATCTCCATGTTCACGAATGGCGGACTTACTCTGTTCATATAGGGTTGTAGAGTATCTCGCTGATGGGCGGACCTGACCGACAAAACTCTTCGCTGTCACGGACTGGGCCAATGTATCATATCAGCACGCTACATCTATCGTCATAGGCGTTGTATGTGGACATGCCATCGCCAATTGTTCCGCGACGTATTTTCAATCATGAGGCTGGGCTGCGCTGGAGGTATCCCCACGTTTACTACTATCCTCCTTTGCACTCACGCCGATCGCATCGATAACCATTATCGCTCGCTCCCATTCCAATGACTCCCAGGCCAAGATCTTCGTCCTTCTGGCATTGGAATGGAAGCTGCGCGAAGGAACCAACAATACTATGGAATGTACATGCGGCGACCACGAGGCTACGTCTAGCGCTCAGGTTCATGGGGATGAGTCGTAGGTACCGGTAAGCATCACACGAGTTCTCCCTATACAAGTCTAGTTGCGCGATAGATAAGAGCATTGGCGCCTCAGCTGCCTGTGAACCACGCCGACCCTGAATGGAACGCATGCATACCTCGGCTCCCTGTATGATTCGGCGAAAGGAAGTCTGGCATACGTGGGTGACAAACTCATTCCGCCACGCTGACTGTCGGTGAACATGTGCGGGCTTCCTTGAAAACAGGCGAATCAGATTATTCGTCAAGGTCAGGGCATGTGTGGGCATTCTCAGCGCATCCCATACGAACGAGTTTCGCAAGTCCTTGGCGATGTTCGTTTGAGTATGCTCAGCTGTTCCGGGATAGCTCCGCTTGCCATTCAAACCATCTGTGCATGGGGCCTGCTCGAGTAGGTGCAATCTATGAACGATCGACAGGAGTGGGGCGGCTGTGAGTGTCAATGGCGCGCACGGAACCTTCAGGTTATCTCCTAAGTCCGGCTCTGCATATTTGCGAGGCAGCGGAAGTAGGCCGAGATGACAACCTCGCTATTCTCTGCGGCGCATGCTGACATCCGACCTCGTGTCCTCTGCGTACAATCGATATCGCCGAAGAAGGATACATCAACTCCGGATAGCTCTGTCATTGCAGGTGAGCGGCTAGATACCCTAGTATAACTCATCCAAGCAGGGATGAGTCCGTTATCTGACCCTTTCTTCCATTGTCAATTTGGCGCCGGTATACTCCTATATAACCATGGAATCCTAGCAGCATAAGCCAAAGGCCCAAACTCGAGCAACTCATATGGCACCCATGAAAAGAGCTCAGTCTTCTTCTCATCCTCAAGCTAAAGCTCAGACACCGGCAGCAAAGTCTGTGGTTTGTCAGTCACTCCCGTCATTTACTGACATTGTATAGGCTAGCGAATAGTGACCGTCCCTGCTTGCAATGCCAACCAGATGAAGGAAAAGGCGGGGAGAAGATTCCGAAGGGTGCATATGAGAGGAAACTAGTTGTTGCCCTGGATGGCACGGGAAATAAGTTTGGAATAAAGGTGCAACCTTATTGGATATGGTGTAAGTTATTGTGTTAACAATGCATATATTAACACAGTATTCCAATGTGGTTGACCTATATGGGCGGATTATGAAAAGTGATGACCAAAGGACATACTATAACAGTGGGGTTGGCACCTATGCCAATGCATCACGTATGCTGCCATGGCGCCTGGTTCAGCAAGCAGTGGACAGTGCCATTGACCTTGCAGTAGCAAGGTGTTTACCAATCTTGATGCCATGTGCACAACAGACTTTTCTCACTTGTTCCTAGGAATTTTGAGACCATGATCCTTGCTGCATATAGATGGCTGACAGAGAATTACATGCCAGGCAACCGTATCTTTCTCTTTGGTGAGTAAGACACATTTTTAGATTGGCTTTGAATAAGTTAATTGTATTATGCAGGGTTTTCCAGAGGAGCATATCAAGTTCGTGTCCTAGCTGCCATGATCAAATGTGTAAGCCTGAGAGCAGCCATCATGCAACTGCAACTAACCAAATTAATCTTCAGGTTGGCCTTCTCGCTCGCGGCAATCAAGAGCAAATACCTTTGTATGTGCTTGTTATCTCTAAACAGTGCTTCATTTCTGTACTAAGTCTATGTCAAGTGCCTATGAGCTCTATGTGTCTAAGTAAGTTATATCACAGCACAAGTTTCCATCCACAAACTCACCATATACTCTATTGTAGTGACCAATACAGATGTGAAATATTTAGGGGAAAATTCTCGCATGAGGTCTCTGTTCACTTCATGGGGCTTTGGTTTGTGTATCTTTTAACACTTTGCAATGAATTACTAAGCACTTGAACTAGGGATACTGTTTCTTCTGTGGGCATTACTCGAGGCAAAGGTTTGCCTTTGGTTGATGATACTGGACACATATGTTATGTTCGACATGCACTTGCATTGGATGAGCGCCGAGTCAAGTTTGTTCCAGAGCATTTCTACCGTTCAAAGGCAAGCATGAAACCTTCAGAGGTTGGATAATCCTTCTTTTGTTGTCACACCAGTACAATCTCATTGACCTTACAGGGCAAGTTAGAGACCACCAAGCCAGAGCATTTGAAAGAAGTGTGGTTCATTGGTTGTCATTCTGATATGTAAGTCTGTCTCCCTGATTCTTGGCAATATTCAAAGCACCACGCTAAATACCATCTTCAGAGGTGGTTTTGGGTATAATCATGACAATGGCATAATGGAGAACATTTCTGCAATATGGATGGCCAATGAAGCTCGGCTTGCTGGTCTTCGGTTCATACCAGTGACAGCAGAGCTACAGTTAAGTGACACAGAATTGAAAAGTCTACGTCCTACAGAGTCACTTCGTGGGTTTTGGCATGTGGTGGAAGCCATACCATTCCTGAGCCGCAAGCAAGACAATCCAAGCTCCTACACATGGTGTGCAATGTTCTCTTTACAGCATGGTCACTGATCAATACAAGGTACTCAGGCGATGGCTCTTACCACATTTGGGAGCACCTCGGTACATCATGCCTGGGCAGAAGATCCATTTTTCTGTGGCCTGTGTTGAGGGTTACAAAACAAAGGCAAGGTTTTGGCCTGGATACACACACAAGCCAATATCCTGGGACCAAATTCTTGGACAAGGGCTGCCAGATAACATGGAGAACCTCAATTCATCTCTGGGGGATATACTGGAGTTAGACCTCTATGACCACTCATCAGCTCCAAAGTTTATGGATTCTATCCATAACTTTGTGGTGGAAGAAGCAGATGCTGGACAAAAGACATCGAAGTCTGATGTTTATCATGCCCTCACACGTCTCTCCATTTTGGCACATCCAGGTAGGTGTCTCTGCTGCTGTCACTATGTCTGACACTGAATACTTTATATATAAAGTGCCAGGCATGACCGCAATTTTAGATCATGCCAGTGACAAGAAACTATGGACAAACCTTCTGTCACTCATTTCAGATCCACATTCGCCCGGTAACATATGTGTTGCCAGTTTGAAGCTGATGCGTACTCTGGCTAACCATGGTGAGACCACTCTTGATATGTATCTTCTGTTCTTACTCTCGGACAGATAAAGGTTTATATGCCTTACGCGAGATAGTTGATATCATGCCAACCCTGCTCCGGGTTGAGTCAGGCAATAATCCTCAATTATCTTGGGCTGCATCAACAACAATATTAACCTTGTTGCGTCACACAAGTGACTGGAAAGTTAGATTAACACAAGGGAGCTATGCCAACTTCTGTAGCTGGCTGTCATCATCTGGTTCAAGCATGGAGAAATTTGAGAAATATATGCTTCAGACCTTGGAATCTGATGCAGCAGATGATGGTATTTCTGCCCTAGCATTGTTGTCAGGCTACTCAGATGGTGATTACACACTATTATGACCTATGAAAAAAGCTGATAGATTTGAAATAGCATGGAAGAATAAGCCAGAGGTGCAGAACAGGCTGCAAGGTCTATTTACCAACCACAATATACTTGCTCATATCAGAGCATCAGCCTCTAAACATCTCTGTCAATCATCTGGTATGGGATTACACCATGATTTCAGCATGCACTTGACAGACTAATCTTGCACACAGGATCAGAGATCCTGAGCAAAGCTGTGGAATCAAAAGAAATCATTGAAAACATTCACAATATGCTGTATCTGCGTCATCGGGATGTTGTCATATCTGCCCTAATTCATCTGCAAATGTTTCAGTGGAAAGGTATAGTGGCCACATATCCTGTTCAGGAGGTGATGGATTCATCTTGACCACAGGGCATGGACAACCTGAACAACCAAATGTCCCAGTTTCCAGGTCCTTCTCAATTCTCAAACATCTTCCACAAGTCATTGTCCATGGTCTCCAACTCCATGGTATGCCCAGAAATTGCTCCTATCAGGCTCTTGCTGACCCTACTTGGCATACAGAAGAAAGTACAAGTGCTGATGAATGCTCTTCTGACCAAGTCTGTGCATTCTTGAAGCAGGCCATGATTGCTCTCCAGGCAACTGCCAATTCCTTCCATAGGGATGGTGAAGTCCAATTATATGAGCCATCTATTGAGAAGTTGGTAGCATTGTTTCAAGGGAAGAATGGTGAGCATAAAATGCACAAAGCTTTGGATGATGTTCATTGTGCTAATTGTGAGCTTAGGTGAGAGTGCTCTGCAGGAGGCAATTAAGGATGCAGCAGGTCACCTTCGAGTGCACCCTTATGATGACATCAAAGGACATTGCAATAGCCTTTCTCGGTGCTTGAGGCGTGATGGTATAAATTTTCATATTAATATGGTGTAAATAATAACATATCATCCTTAGACTTCCTCTTATATGCATGCGCTGAACTCCTTCAGCGTAGTTGGGAGGATAAAACAGGTTTGATCTAGATGTGATCCTGTCTGTAATACTAATTAAACCTCACTACCAGGGGAATACATGCAATCTTTCTTATGCTGGTTTCAAGGACAACTTGAGGTTGAATTGATGTCCATAAAGAGCCATGTGGTATATGCTTTGTCCAAGATCACTCAACATGGTAAGTAGTCTGTTCTTTGATTGAGACTGTTTATAACATCCAGTAGAGCATGTCAGTGATATAATCCTCCACAACAATGAATTTGCAACAGCACTGGGTGATGCACTCAAGAGTGGACAAAATGATTTTGTGCAATCTGCCATTGATGCACTGTACAACATTGCAAACCACACACCTGAGAAAGCAAGAAGGGACACCTTACCCCACTGGCTTGAGAATCACAAGTTCCTGTCATCAATGGCTCCCCTCCTTATCAATTCTGATGAGGATCTACGTCAATCTGTGCTTGGGTTGGCTGAGCTGTTTTCTGACATTGCTCCAGTGGGACCTGAGCAAGTTACTCTCACAGGACAAGTATATGATTTTGTGCTTAGTTTGCTCAAAGTTGGTGATGGGCAGGCCAAGACATGGGCAGTCATTATTCTCCCAGAAATACTGGAGGATGGGAAGCACGCATCATCAGTGAAAAGGGATCTAGAAGTCATTGTTGCAGAGATTGTAGAGTCTGGGCCAATATCCCGTTTGAAGAGGCTGCTTGACCATGGTCAGTATTCATTCTATGGTGATTATGTGAGAATGACTGTGGTCTGGATATAGCCATTCTCAAACCCAAGATTGAGGGGCATTTGCAGAGAGTTCTCTCTGCTATTGTGAACAATCTACTAGACAAGGAAAATGATGAGTTCAGAGAGAAAGCACAGACAGAATTAGATCGCCTTATAGAGCTTGGTAGGTTTCTGGGCTGCTGCATACTGGGTTCACCTGGTGTCTCATAAGCATGGATATCTAGATGTGTTGCGGAGAATTGTGATCCAAGATGGTCTCATTCAGAGGCTTGATAAGCTACTGGGTGATGAAGATGATGTGGATGCATCCATTCAGATGTCTGCAGTCACTGCTCTCTCGTGTCTGTTATCCCATGGTATGTCAAGCAACTGTGTGATAGATGCATTGCTGACTTCACCAGATGATGTCTTCAATCATGCACATGCACTACTGGGCCAGATTGTTGATCATCTCATAGAATTGATACTGAGAAATGATCAAGATGCAGCAAGTGCAGCAGTCAGAGCTTGGAACAAGCTGCTTGAGAAGTGTAGTTATTCCATTATGCAAGTTCTTGACTGGCTGATAGTAACCTATATGCAGGTGAAGCGGGCATTGATGCAAGGGAGCAATTGCGAGTTGCGGTTGCCATGGAGAATCTAAGCAGGGTCCGGAATGAGTGGGCAGCATCAACATATTTGAGTACCATTACAAGGAGTACTCTGATCAAACTATGGGATGATTATGGTGTGTCCAGCAACTGGTATACATGGTTAATGTGCTATTATATCTAACTACTGCATAATACCAGCGGATATGAGCACACAAAGCATGCGTGAAGTCATAAAGGGCCTTGCTCGTGACTTTTCAGGACAGTATGGTTCCAGAGAGAGGGAAGCAGCCCAGGCAGAGTTGGCTAGTTATGTGAATCTCAGTATGTGGCATCCCTAACCTTTGATGCCCAATCATTATCATTCTTATGGCTTCCACTAGCACCCTTTCGTCAGGCCACTCTTGATGTGGGGCTACTTAAAGAGCTCAACACACTTCTTTATACTAGTCATGATGCTGAAGTCGAAGCATCAGCTATTTCTGCTCTATCTCTTCTATTGTCCTATGGTCAGCTGTACAGCTTTCCTTGTTGCTATGTATAATACTGACTTCAACAGAGGATATATTCAATGCTGCAGGAGAGCTGCTTGATCAGATAGTCCAGCATCTCATCAAGTTGTTCATGAGCAATGATAGCAGTGCTGCTGAAACTGCAATTGGGGGCTGGAGTAAGCTAGTAAAACAAGGTATATTCTCCGAATTTGACCATCCAGTCTGCTCTTGAGCTAATACCCATTTAAGCTGATGAGAATACCTGCAAGAGGGTTTTGACTAGACAAGCCATAGAGACTCTGACTAAGGTTTGCAATGAATCTTCACCAAAATCAGTGCACCATATGGCAAAACGTACTCTGGACAATCTGAAGAAGACATATGGTGAGTTCAGCAGAATTCCACATTGATAACGGTTGATAGTGGCCCTATTTTGGTGCTTTTTCACAATGCAGCAACCATCCTCTCTGAGCTGAAGGATGTGTTGGATGATCCTGTAAATGGGTTTTCATACCCTGATTATCTTAGAATAGTACAAGAAGCAAGTACAGAGCTGTCTCATCTAGTAGAACCAGGTATTCACCTTGCATTCTTCCATGTTATCTACTTATCATTAAATCTAGGGTCTGTTCATGAAGTTGAACTCCAGCCAGAGTTGCTGAAAGAGCTGGACATAGTACTTTATGCTAGCCGCAATGGAAGACTTGAAGCCTCTGCTGCCCTTGCTCTGTATGGACTGTTGTCCAATGGTATATATTATGATTCACATCAATGATAGATACTACACTTACTTTTAACAGAGGATGTCTTCAATGGTGCAAGAGCTCTGCTTGATCAAATCACACAGCACTTGATAAATCTGTTCATGAGCAATGCTGATGATGCAGCTGAAGCAGCAATCCTTACTTGGTGCAAGCTTGTTAGGCAATGTACGTGCCACCATGGGGTTGCTTCCTACACAGACTGATATACAGGTGAAGCTGATGAAAATACCCGCAAGACAATCATGACAAAAAGAGCTCTGGCTACTCTTCGCCATGTCCATAACAGGCCCTGGTGGTGGAAGAATGTGCGCCACACAGCAAGGCTTACTCTGTGGTATTTGCTCAAATCCTATCGTATGTCCAGTAGTCTGTTCTTCTATATCTTATTATGTCTCATCATTATTCACCTTGCAGCTGAAGCCCGTTTGCTGACAGATGTGCTAGAGCATGATGAGGATAATGAACTCATAGACAGCAAGGTGCAGGATGAGCTGCAAGATCTGTCAAATGATGAAATTCTGATGCAGCTGAGAGAGGAGATTGATAAACTTGAGGATGAGGAAAATAGGGGGAGCTCTGCTGACCCTGCAGATGACACAGGGATGAGTAGCAACAGTGATAAAGACAATAACTGAGCAATAGATGGAGTGGATGGCAAGTAGTCCTACAGTGAATTTTCTCAGCTAGTATACAACATCACATCAGAATCAGAGCTATGGCTGTTTCATGGGACAACAGTGCTCAGCTACATATGGTTTTTTTTGCTTGTGCTGGTATCTAGTAGACTAGTACAGAGTGCCAAACTGAAGTCATTGGACTTGTTGATAGAAATCATATTGTCTTGGCCCTAGCTCAGCAAGAGAATGAACCCACACTTGACCAACTTGTCCACTACTTCAATCCAAATTTGTACCATCCGGATTCCTGGGGAAGAATGTTAACATTGAATGTTCATTACTGTTTCATACAACCGCCATAGCTTAACGTAGGATTCCCGTAGTATACCTAGTTCCGACGCATTCCGGAAATGCCCACGACGCGCAGACTTTTCGTGCGTGTCACTGCCGCTCGTTTTCCTCAGTCATTCTATCACCGACTGAGGTATGTTTCTCTCTGTAGATGTACTATACTTAGCTGACATGTATTGCAGTGTCTGTTATTAGGTAGAGTACTCTAATACAGTCGTTCTATCACCGACTGAGCATCTGTTATTAAAGAACAAGCTTCTACCAGCACTATTGTCTGCCATATCAAAACTAGATATCTGGTGCCCACAGAACCAAGGGATTGACCACACTCCTGGTCTGTCCAGCAACGTCAGTGCCGAGGCAGGGAAGCCACTGAAATCTTGACCTTGTAGCAAATTCTTTTACACTGGGTTCAAAACGTATTCGAACAGGGCACTCTAGAATAAAACTTCTTTTAAGCATTGAGGTTTTGGTCCCTAGTGAAACATCAGTAAAAAGGGAAGGGTTTGAAAAGGCTGAGCATCAGACTTTTCAGACACGTCAGACTCTGCTTGATCAATCACATTGCACGGAATCCTTTCAGCGCGTCAGACCTTTAGAACCTCGATTTGGGTCATTCAGACCCTGTATTGATAGAACCCTGGCAAGACATTTTGTGCATTTTGTGTATGGGATACAATACATTATTGAATACAGAAGTAAATTACAACCAGGTGGACCCAACAGTTCACCCCTGCTCAATTGCTATACCTGGATCAAAACACATTTAGACATTTAGACCTTCAGACCTTTCCCTTTTTCCTGATGAACCTGATTGGCACTCATCTACTCCTCCCCTAACCCTTTATGATACATAGCCTGATAAGGGGAGAGGCCATTGTATCTGCATCAGGAAACCTGCCAACCTCTAAATGGTCTGCAAGGCCTGAGAGTCTATATCTCAGATTTTCAGGATTACAGACTCAATAGACTTCTAGATATGGAGTTGATTATGCCAGTGTACATATAGTAGTGGCTACTCTAGACTAGCTAATGTACTGATAGCTATATTATGCACTCATGAGAATGATAGTCCGCATATTTGTTTACATAGAAAGATTTGAATGCATCTAAAGAGTAAGAGAAGTGAAAATCATTGGGTATATATGGGTATCACCATAGACCCCTATGAGATGTATTGTGCGAATGATGGAATCAATGTGAATAATGCCTATAGAACATCCCCTAGCAGTCATCTCGGGCTCAACAACCCACATACCCATCACAGGGTCAGGTCTATCATGACATTGCATGAATCACTCTATGATGGCACAAGGGTACCAAGTGCACTTGTAATGGACCAAAAGGAATCTGAGAATGCGCCCAATTACCATACCTTTCATCCCATCCTGCTTGGGATCAAGAGAAATGAGCACAGTATCAAACCACACATACTCATTTCGCCAGTGTGGGTTTGAGCAAATGACCTCGCGATGCATTCCCTGTTGCCAGCGAGCTCACTAGGGGCGAAGAAGGTTGCACTAGCAGACTGGTAGACATGAACTCGGTGGCCCACGGATGGCAGATCATCCACATCGATGTTGCTGCTGTCGTGTGGAATGGCAGCATCTTGCAGTTGCTCAAAGACAAACCGCAGAATGAGGAATTTGAGATCTGGTTTGTTGAGCTCATTTGCGAGAGACTGCATGCTCTGTGAATATGCTGATTACTTTGCATGAGCCCCAAGAGCACCACAATCAAACATAGAACATACCTAGCTTCTTCCCAATTTCCACGTAAGACATCACCCCTGGTCCCTCCACATCATGGACATCCACGTTGTCACTATCTACACTGTAATTGTTTCGAATATGTTCTTCATTCAAGTCCTGGGGATTCAGCAAGCCCACCTCGAGCATTGCGTCAGCGAGAACAGACCCTTTCAGCATCCCGCAGCCCTCAAGCACCGCGCACATCACAGCTAGCTTTTCGAGGCACTGGTTAGTGACAAGCATCTGCCCCAGCACATTTTTTCTACTCAATTGGTGCCAGGGTTCTTTGACCGTGTGGATGTGCTTGGACTCAGTGATGGACGTACAGACTCCATTTGGAGAGCCAAATTTTCTGATTGCTGTTATGTAATGTCCAAATGTTGAGGCTGCATGAAGCCATCGGGACAGATGCCGCCTCCTCGAAGATTGTTCGGTGCTGATGGAACTGGTCTAGGGACTTCTGCATCAGAGCAAGGGTATCATTGTCGTGTGCTGACTGCAGGGCTAGGTAGCAGAAGTTGAGCAGAGCCGCAAAACATTCCACCATCTTGTCTGGCACATCATCAGCAAATTCAGGATAAAGCGGAGAGCCCTTGTGGCGTTTACAAGGGCCACCATGCACATTGCCAGAATGTGAGGTCATGCCAGGCCTCGCCTGTACTGTGCAGTCTTGCGGTGTGTTGGCAAGATGAGCACAGTGCAACTAGTATATACATCCATTGTGGTCACTTGCCAAGCCAGTACCTGGATTGCAAGGCCTTGCCAAATGCATGGAAGATGTTAGGAAGCGATGTCCTAACTAGTCATCTCTGGAGGCCACGTGCCAACAGTTATGTCGTCACTACCTCAGTAAGCGTACTGAAAGGTAGGTCTGGCCGGGCCAATGCCAACGGTCAAGTCAAGAGTCCAGGTAATCGCTGTATTCAACAGGAGGTTGAACTAAGGAATACATGGGTTTTCCTACAGTATATATAGTAACTGGTATAGGGGTTGATACCCAAAGAAGAGAACAATGAGAAGGGACGCGTAAGCTATCCTGTGAGAACGTAACTCAGAGAAATGAGAAATACAAGGGCGCCCATTGGTAGAAGGTGAGTCAAGGGAGATAACGTGTGGGAAGAAGATAGCGTCCATGGGAAGTTCTACTCAGAGAAAGGTACTGTCCAATAGCAATGCTTGGAATGGAAATGGAATGAGATAAGCATGGGAAAATCATAACAGAAGAATGATAGTGTATTGCCAGTATACAAAAGGTTCTATATAGGAGCTGATGTTGCAAGGTCCGAGTCTGCTTACGCAACCACTATAGCTCTGCATAACCTTACAAATCCT